GCAGCAGCAGCAGCAGCTCACCTGGGCCCTGACTCTTTGCCTGCAGGCCCTGACGAGGGCCGCCCCTTTGAAGTTTCTTAAAGACTCATTTACACACAAATGGTCTCTAGAGGCCAACACGCAAACCCGCAGGCCCCGCTGCCGATCTGCTGCTGCTGCTGCTGCTGCTGCTGCTGCTGCTGCTGCTGTGGCTGCTGCTGCTGCTGTGGGGGCGGGGGCAGCTGCTGCGGATGCCGCGGGCGATGGAAGAGGGCGCGGCGGCTTCTCGTCCGGCTTTGCTGCTGCTGCGGGTTCTAATTTGACGCGGCCTGCTGCTGCTGCTGCTGCTGCTGCTGCTGCTGCTTCGGTTGGCGGGGTCTTCACTGCAGCAGCAGCAGCAGCAGGTGCAGCAGCAGCAGCAGCAGCAGCAGGTGGCGGGGGTGGGGCTTAGGCGCTCGTCCCGACGACGGAAGAGTGTTTTCGTTTTTCCTGTTTGTGCTGCTGCTGCTGCATCTGCTGCTGCTGCTGCGTCTGCTGCTGCTGCCGCAGCTGCTGCAGCAGCTCGCTGTGGGCCCCCGAAGCAGCATAAGAAGTCTTTCGCAGCTCTTCCATTACGTGCTGCAGCTGCCCGTGAGTTCTCGAAGCATACAGGATCTTCCCCACCACGAGCTGCTGCTGCTGCTGCTGCTGCTGCTGCTGCTGCTGCTGCTGCAGGGGCATCCAGGGGCGGTGGCTGTTTGCAGCTCTTGGGAGGGCGTTGGGGCTGCGCAGCAGCCGCTGCTGCAGCAGCAGCTGCTGCTGCTGCTGCACCGCGAGAGTTGCTGCCAGCAAACACAGGGTCTTGCCAGTGCCCGTGGGGCTCTCCAGCAGCGCGTGCTGCCCCTCTAGACAAGCAGCAGCAGCAGCAGCAATTAGCTGCTGCTGAGAAGCATAAGGTTCAAAAGGAAAAGAAATTCTAATACCCTCAAGTTGCCCCACCCACCCCCTCCCCGGGGGGCCCCCCGGGGGGCCCCCCGGGGGGCCCCTCGGGGCTGCGCAGCTGCTGCCGGTGCTGCGGCACGTCACAAGGATGGGCTCCGGCGCTGCTGCTGCTGCTGCTGCTGCTGCTGCTGCTGTGGGAGCTGCGGTGGCAGCAAACGTGTTTCTGGGGGCCCCCGGCTCTCAGGGGCACTCCATGAACTCCTTTTTCTGAAAAAAAGAAGAATAAATACAAAAATATTAATTATAAATCAAATTAAAGGATTTCAATCCAAATTCGGAGGCTAAACACCCCCAACTGCACGCTGCTGGCGCCTGGCGCCCCCAGACCCGCCAGGCCGGGGCCTCTTCTTTCCTTCTCGCGGCAGCAAAATGAAACTAAGAGACAAAGTAGAATCCTGTTTATTTACTTTTAATTATTATTCATTTAACGCCCTTTAAAAAGCAGAAAAATGCCTCTAAAAAGGCCTAAGGGGGGCCCCTGGGGGGCCCCTTCAAGACCTTCGGGGCCCCCAGGGGCCCCCTGGGGGCCCCCTGGGGCCCCCAGGGAGAGGGGCCCCCCAGGCGTGTGTAACAGTTTGTTTGAGACAGTAATTAACTAATTAATTAATTAATTTTGTTGTTTTTAATAATTAAATACCAATTCAAATGATTTTCTGGTGGCTAGCCAGGCATTTCAGCTAGCTAGCTACAATGGGGCCAGCTTGCTAGCCTGGCTAGCTAGGCGGCTTTGACCCAAAAGAGGTCCAGCTAGCTGGCTAGGAGCAGCTAGCTAGCTAGCTAGGAGCAGCTAGCTAGCTAGCCAGGGGCAGCTAGCCAGCCATGTGGCTAGCTGCTGCTGCGGAAGCAGCAATATGGCCATTTAAATTCGACTTGGTCCGTTTTCCCGCACTGCTGCTGCAAGCGTTGCTGCAGTTGCTGCAGCAGTGGCTGCAGCAGCAGCCGCTGGCTTTCTAGCTGCTAGCTAGCTGCTAGCAAGCTGCGCCCTGTCGTAGCTAGCTAATCGTTCTTACACACGGCTAGCTAGCTGCCCCTCAAGCTAACTAGCGAGAGGGTTAGCTGGCTTATAAATGCCCAGCTAGCTACTCGCTCAAATGGCTAGCTAGCCGCCTTCATAAAGGGCTGGGCTGCTGCCTTCAAAAGTAGCTAGCTAGCTGCCCTTGGAGCTAGCTAGCTAGCTAGCTAGCTAGCTAGCTAGCTGCCTGCGTGCATAGCTAGCTTTTCTGAAGGCTAGCTTGCTATCTAGCTAGCTACAGTAGCTAGCTAGCTAGCTATTTAGCCGCAAAAGCAGCTGGCTGGCCGGCTAGCTAGCCAGCTAGCTAGCTAGCTAGCTAGCTAGCTAGTTGCCCGTGTGGAAGGCCAGCTAACTGCGCTCTAGCTAGCTGTGGCTAGCTGGAGCTGCATCGGGGGTTTCCGGGGGTAAATTGATTAGCTGCAGCAGCGGGAAATAAAAAAAGGAAAAATAAAAATTTTTAATTAAATAAAATAAAAAAAATTAAAAAGAATTAAAAGTAAATGAAGCAGGTTAAAAGGCTTGCAATGAAGTCTTTTCTCTTAAAATAGAACAAATATGCATTTTATTTTATTTTATTTTATTTTATTTTATTTTATTTTATTTTAACTTAATTTTGCATTTCACTTCCAAATTTGGTCCGCGCTTGCATGCATTTCAGGGTTTAGGGTTTAGGGTTTAGGGTTTAGGGTTTAGGGTTTAGGGTCTAGGGTTTAAGGTCTAGGCTGTAGAGTTTAGTGACTGCAGAGTCGACAAAGACGCGACAAAAAGGGCTCCGCAGGTTTAGGGTTTAGGCGTTATTAGGGTTTAGGGTTTATTAGGGTTTAGGGTTTATTAGGGTTTAGTCGAATTGTCGGAATTCATTTAAAGTCTTTTTATTTGCAAACAAGTGCATGCAAAACCCTTTTTAAAGAAACAAAAACATTAAAATGGATTTGAAGTTCATAAACCCTTTTGCTGCATTCCAAAACCCTCACAGCAAAGTAAAACCTTAGTCGCTGAAAAAGATGCAAAGAGCACAACCCCCTGCGAGGGTTTAGGGTTTAGGGTTTAGGGTTTAGGGTTTAGCGTTTGGGGGAGGCTTTCTTGAAGTGGTCTGCGGGCACGAGGAGAGATATAAATTAAAGATCCAACACTTCAAAGGCGACCTTCCTCATAAACCCTAAACCCTAAACCCTAAACCCTAAACCCTAATCCTAAATCCTAAACCCTAGAAGGGCGAAAGCCAGCAAAATCTCTGCCACTTCTTGCTTCCAATCCTCCCCATATTTCACTTTCATTTATTTTTATTTATTTTTATTTATTTTAATTTATTTTTATTTATTTTTATTTATTTTTATTTTTATTTATTTTCAACTTCAGCCCGTCAGCCAGCTGCCTCGGCTGTCGCCTTTGGCTGTGGGTCCCTGGGTGCCAGTGAGCAGCAGAAAAGAGGACTTTGAATTTTTAATGAATTAAATTAAGTTTAATTTAATTAATTTTAATTAATTAAATTAAATTAATTAATTCTTTTTGAAGTCCACCGACATCCCGGCAGCTTCTGAGTTTGCTGCTGCATCTGCAGCAGCCCCCTGGAAAATTTTTCGCTTAAGTTCGCCTTCATTAAATAAATATTAATTCAGAAGCATAATTAAATTGCAGAAACAGCAGCAGCAGCAGCAGCAGCAGCTGCTGCTGCTGCTGCTGTGGTTCTGCTGCTGCTTTCGTCTCGCGCGCAGCAGCAACGGGCTGCAGGAACAGCAGCAGCAAAAGAGGATTTGCTGAAAAGCAAATGAGTCAAATATTATAAATGCTGTTTTATGGCGGGGGAAGTATTAGATTGCCTCCAGCTGCTGCAGCAGCAGGAGTCGATTTTGGGTGTGCGTGAAGGAGATACTTGCTTCCTTTTCAGCTTTTGCTTCCTTTAGTCCTTTTGTCTCATCTCCTTTTTCTTACTTGCTGCCCTTAAGCTCCTCGCCCGCAGCCGACGGCGAGCCGCCTCGACCCTGGAGCTGCTGCTGCTGCTGCTGCTGCTGCTGCTGCTGCTTTGTTTGCGTTTGTGTTTTGCTTCTTCGGTTTTGCTGCTTCTTCTGCCTAAATGCTGCCTGCAGCAGCAGCGGCTGTGCAGCTGCTGCTGCTGGAGACAAGCAGCGGCCGAGGGCCCTGAGAAGCATCGACGGCGCTGCTGCGGCAGCAGCTGCTGCTGCAGCAGCTGCTGCTGCTGCTGCTGCTCCCGCTGCACTGTGAGCAGCACTTCCGCAGCAAGCAGGTGGACAGACACCCCATGGCCCCCCAGCCTAGCGAATGAGCCGGCAGCAGCAGCGCGGGCAGCTAGCCCCTGCAGCAGGAGACGCCCCAATAGACCACGAAGCAGCAACAGCAGCAGCATCGCCAGCAGCAGCAGCAGCAGCAGCAAGTCTCCGCGGCTGCGACTGCCCCGAGCTCCGGGGCCCCCGGGGGGCCCCCCCGCTGTCCCCGGAGGAAGTTTGGACTTCTCTTTTCATTGCGAGTCCTGAGGAGCTCGAGGCCCACTCCTTCCCAGAAGCAGCAGCAGCAGCAGCAGCAGCAGCAGCAGTTGAGCCTGCAGCAGCAGCAGCAGCACCTGCAGCAGCAGCAGCAAGGCATGCCGTGGCCGCGAGCTCCGTGCGGCTAGACCACGAGGGCGGTTTGCTGCAGCCAGTGCCCGCCACCTTCTTCCTGAGCCCCAACCCCTTCAGCAGCAGCAGCAGCAGCAACAGCAGCAGCAGCAGCAGCAGCAGCGACGCGAGCGCAGCAGCCACTCGACCCTCTTCCCCGCGGCAGCAGCTAAGGGGGGCCCCCGGGGGCCCCCCAGAGAGCTCTCTGAGGCGTCCAGGGGGCCTCTTCGTCTCAGCCGTGAAAACCAGTCCAACAGCAGCAGCAGCAGCAGCAGCAAAAGCAGCAGCAGCAGCAGCAAGTGGTGGGGCCCCAAAGCCGCAACAAGGGGGGAGCCACGGGGGCCCCCGGAGGGAGCAGCAGGGGGCCCCCAGGGCCCCTGAGGGGCTTATGGGGCTGCTGTGGGGAGAGCAGCAGCAGCCTCACTGCAGCAGTAACACCAGCAAACAAAGCAGCAGCAGCAGCAGCAGCAGCAGCAGCAGCAAGAACTGGCCTCCTGTCGCCGCCGCAGGGGACCCAAGACCCACAGGGGGGCCCTCGGGAAACCCCTTTGGGGGCCCCAGTTTGAACTTCCCAAGGGGGCCCCAGGGGGCCCCCTTGGTTTCACCTTCGATGGAAGAAGCTGCTGCTGCTGCTGCTGCTGCCAGAACTCCCAACTCGAAGCATACCCCTAATCAGCAGCAGCAGCAGCAGCAGCAGCAGCAGCAGCAGCAGCAGCAGCAGCAGCAGCAGCAGCAGCAGCAGCCGAGCAAGCCCCAGGGAAGGGAAGTCCGGATGCGCGCTGCAGCAGCAGCAGTGCCGCGAGCTGCGGGCGATGCAGCAGCAGGTGCAGAGGAGGTAGCAGCAGCAGCAGCAGAAGCAGCAGCAGCAGCAGCAGAAGCCGCAGAAGTGCAGCCGCGGACGAACGCAGGAAAAGACAGTACTGCTGTTCCCGTCCGCCGAACCAATTCTTCCCATCTGCAGCAGCAGCAGCAGCAGCAGCAGCAGCAGCAGCAGCAGCAGCAGCAGGGGCGGCAGCAGCGGGGGTCTTTGTCGACTGCAGCAGGAGCTCGGGAGGCGAGCAGGCGGGCGCTGCTGAACAGCCTGCGGTTCACGTCCCCCATCAGCAGCAGCAGCAACAGCAGCAGCAGCAGCAGCAGCAAAGCAGCAGCAAGAGCAGCAAATGGTTTGGTGACCCTCGCGCGGGCCAAGGGCAGCTCTCGCCCTGAAGAGGTCCATTGGTCCAGTCTGACTCCTCGGGGGCCCCTCTACCCCGCCAGCAGGGCTGCTGCTGCTGCTGCTGCTGCGCCAGCTGCAGCAGCAGCAGACGCTGCAGCGCACTGGAGCGGCAGGAGCAGCAGCAGCAGCAGCAGCAGCAGCAGCAGCCACTGCGGCCGCCCGCTGACGGTGCGGCAGGTGATTGGCTCTGCGCTGCGCAGCCGCAGCAGCAGCAGCAGCAGGTCTGTGGGCCGAGTGGGGGGCGCGGCGTCGGCGGGCGCGGCCGCTGCTGCAGGCGGCGCAGCAGCAGCAGCAGCAGCAGCAGCAGCAGCTCGCGCTTCCTGGCAAAGCGCCCTCTGCTACAGCCGCCGCTCTTACCTTTCTCTAGAAAGAGAAGCTCTTGTTTTTTATTTGCAACTTGTTGCTGCTTTCGAGTCCAGCTGGGCAGCCATCAGACCCATTCCTTCTCCGGGGCCTCCAGCTGCCCGCAGCAGCAGCAGCAGCAGCAGCAGCAGCAGCAGCAGCAGCAGCGGCGGCGGCGGCGGCGGCGGCGTTGGGCTTCGCGAGGTAAGGCCCGCACTGGCGGCGGGGGCTACGGGGCTGTTGCGGCTGCTGCTGCTGCTGCTGCCGTTGCTGCTGCTGCTGTTGGTACTGCTGCTGTTGGTGCTGCTGTTGTTGGTGCTGCTGCTGCTTCTGCGCTTGCTGCTGCTGCTGCTGCTGTCGCGCAGCAGCGTCGATGCTGCTTCGCCGCCTGCCTTTCTTTTCTATTTTCAATTTAAATTTAAAACAAATTCCGAAAAGTCCGAAGCAGCTGCTGCGCATTTGGGGTGTACGTACAGCTCGACGCAGCAGACAACGTCAGCGTTTATCTTGTGGCTCCTTTTCTAATTCGAGCAGCTCGCAGAGTTCGGCTGCTGCCGCAGCAGCTACAGGCCCTCGCAGCAAGGCAAATGGCAGCAAGCAGCAGCAGCAGCAGCAGCAGCAGCGGCGGCGGCGGCAGCAGGCGCGCCGGCCAACTCGACCCGCAGCAGCAGCAGCAGCAGCAGCAGCAGCAGCAGCAGCAGCAGCAGCAGGTTGAGCCGCAGGCGTTTCTCGAAGCTGCCAAGCAGCAAGTGAAACTGCCCAATCCGCTGGCGTTGCGCATGGGAGGCGCAGCAGCAGCAGCAGCAGCAGAGACGTCGCCGAGGCCACGTTCGCCGGCGCAACCCGCAGCAGCAACAGCAGCAGCAGCAGCAACAGCAGCAGCAGCAGCAGCAGCAGCAACAGCAGCAGGGAGTGCTCCTGAAGCAGGAGGCAGCAGACTGATTGAAGTGTTTCTTTGCTGCGGGGGAAAAGACATGCTGGCTTTGGACTGGCTGCCTTTTGTGTCTCGCTACCTTTACTTTTGTTTGTCTGCTGCAGTGCAGCAGCAGCAGCAGCAGGAAGTCAGGAGGGGCAGGGCCACCTTCAACGAGGCCGCCGTATTCGCAGCAGCAGCAGCAGCAGCAGCAGCAGCAGCAGCACCTGCAGCAGCAGCAGCTCACAAGCGTCCCAGAGACGAAAAAGCCAAACAGCGCGCGCAGGCAATTGCTGCTGTTCTTGCCAGGGCAGCGCAGCAGCACCTTCAAACCCAGCAGCAGCAGCAGCAGCAGCAGCAGCAGCAGCAGGAGCCCGGCAGCAGGACAGATTGCGCCATTGATCCAGAGGTATCGCGGAGCTTCTAGGGCATATTTTTGCTTCTGCTGCTGCTCACGCTGCTGCTGCTGCTTCTGCTGCTTTGCAGCTCACAGCAGCAGTCCAAGCGCCAGGCAGAGGCTGCTTGCATGCGTTTATTGCTGCTGCTGCTGCTGCTGCTGCTGTTGCTTTGCCCTCAGGTTGCTGCGGAGAGCTTCGCCCCGAGTCCTGCTGCTTCGCCAGCAGCAGAAGCATCAGCAGCAGCAGCAGCAGCAGCAGCAGCAGCAACTTCGGAGGAGACGGGGCTGCTGGAACTGGAAGTGCCTGTGCTGCTGAAGATGGACTTGGCTTTTGTGCTGCTGGACTATCCTGGCTACGGCTACAGCAAGGGGGATGTTCCTAGCCCAGAGGGTGAGCAGCAGCAGCTGCTGCTGCTTCTGCTGCTGCTGCTGCTTCTGTTGTTGCTGCTGTTGGTGCGGTTGCTGTCGGTGCTGCCCTCGCTGCTTTGCTGCTGCTGCTGTTGCTGCCGTTTCTGTTGCTGCTGCTGCTGCTGCCGTTTCAGTTGTTGCAGCTGCTGTTGTCGCTGCTGCTGTGTTGCTGCTGCTGTGACTACTACTGCTGCTGCTGCTGCTGCAGCACTGCTGCTGTTTGCGGCTTGCTGCTACTGTGCAGGATGTGTGGGGGCTGCGGTGAAGGGCCTTGCTGAGTCTCTCAGACAGCTGCGGGCCATGAGCGGAGGCAACTGCAAACTGAGGGTAAGCTTGCTGCTGCTGCTGCTGCTGCTGCTGCTGAAATGCTGCTGCTGCTGCTGCTGCTGAAATGCCGCTGTTGCTGCTGCTGCCGCTGTTGCTGGAGTTAGCCCGCCACTGGGTAGCGAGCAGCTGCGAGGCAGGCAGGAGGGAAAGCATCAATCATGCACACATGGCAGCAGGACAGCAGCAGCAGCAAGACAGCAGCAGCAGCAGCAGCAGCAGCAGCAGCAACAGCAATAGCAGCAGCATGGAGACGCGACAGAGACGTAGACCGTTCCGTCTGTGTGTTACACTGCTGCGTCTCTTTTATTATTTGCCTCTTTTATTTTCTTTTTTATTATTTATCTCTTTGTTGTTTTTATCCTTCATTATTCATCTTTTATTATTTTTCCTTTTTGCTGCTGCAGCTAAACGTTCTGGGGTACTCCTTGGGCGGCGCTGTGGCCCTGGAGGCAGCAAATATAATCTGCAGCGAGTTGCTGTGGATGGACACACAAATCAAGAGAAGCAAAGCGGCCTCCAGCAGCAGCAGCAGCAGCAGCAGCAGCAGCAGCAGCGCAGCAGCAGCGGAGGAGGAAGGCCTGTCGTTGTTTTCAGGTGTCTCGGCAGCTGAAGCTGACGCTCCTTTTGCTTCTCCTGTCAACGCAGCAGAGATTTGGCCCCCCCTCACCAGTAGGGAATTCAGCAGCAGCAGCAGCAGCAGCAGCAGCAGCAGCAGCAGCAACAGCAGCAAGCCGAGCTCGAGACGGAGCAGCAGCGGCAGCAGTCAAGAAAGCGGGACGGAAAGGCGAGAAAGAGAAAGGCGCAGCAGCAGCAGCAGCACGGAGGCAGCAGCAGCGAGAAGCGGAGGATTTAGTTCAGCGCATCCGCAGCAATTTGCTTCCCCAGTGAGGCCTGCAGCAGCAGCAGCTGCTGCTGCTCCTGGAAATCCAGCAGCAGCAGCAACAGCAGCTAGAGTGGGCTCGTGGTCCGCCCCTAACAGCACCGCCAGCAGCAGCAACAGCAGCACAAGCAGCAGCAGCAGCAAGAGCAAGCGCAGCAACAGCAGCGACAGCAGAGGCGGGGATGAGTCAGACAGCAGCAGCAGCTTAAAGGACGAGGCAGCAGCAGCAGCAGCAGCAACAGCAGCAGCAGCAGCAGCTAGCCCGTTGGAGGCCCCTCGGGGCTTGCGGGATTTGGGCCTTGACTTCCGACTGTTCTTACAGGAGCTAATAAACGAAGACCAAATGAAGCAGCAGCAGCAGCAGCAGCAGCAGCAGCAGCAGCAGGAAGAGCAGCAGCAGGATGGGGAGGCTGCAGTATCTTTTCGCGGTTTGCTGCTGCTGGCTGCCTTCACAACAACAGCAGATTGTGCTGCTGCTTTCTTTCAGCTGCCTTCGCCTCTTAACTCCGTTTTCAAATCTTTGATTGAGTTTATTCAAGACACAAACACGGTGTACGTACACTCGGAGCCCCGCAGCAGGCTGCTGCTGCTGCTGCTGCTGCTGCTGCTGCTACTGCTGCTGCTGCTGCTGTCTGCGCTGCTGAACCTGGCGCTGCTGCTGCTGCTGCAGCAACAGAACCACTTGGTGCTGCTACTGCGGTTGCTGCTTTAGATGCCCCTGCTCATCCTGCCGGCTGTTACTGTTGGAGCTTTTGTTGTTGTTGCTGCTGCTGCTGCTGCTGCTTTTGCTGCTGCTGCTGCCTTCTTTATAACTGTTTGCTGTGGGTCGTACGCTGGCGCGCCGTGTGCCTCCTGCTGCTTCTAGTTTGCTGCTGCTGCCAGCAGCAGCCGCAGCAGCACAGAGAGAAGCAGCAGCAGCCGACTTAAAAGCCAACAGCAGCAGCAGCAGCAACAGCGGCAGCAGCAGCAGCACGTTTGCTGCTGCATTGTGGCTTTGCTGCAGCTGGAACAACGAGGCGGCAATCCGGCGCTTCTGCAGGACTTTGGCTGTGGGTGAGTTTCAGTTGTTTAGTAATTATAATTTGATAAATCTAAATTAATAATTATAATTTAATAATTATATTTTAATTTTTTAATTTAATGATTTCAATTTAATAATTGTAGACAGTTAATTATCTGCCGAGGACACCGGCAGCTGAGGGAGGTGCTGCTCTCGCCTCATGCCTCCGCAGCAGCAGCAGCAGCAGCAGCACCGGCAGCAGCAGCAGCAGCAGCACTGGCAGCAGCAGCAGCAGCAGCAGTTTCTTTTGGCTGCGCTGGCGCTGCCCGCAGCTTTCAGCCCAGTAGCAGGCAGCTCGTGCGTGCCTGCATGGGTGTTGGTTGCTCTGCTGCTTCATTGCTGCTGCTTCACGGCTGCTGCTTCTGCTGGTGCTGCTGCTGCTGCTGCTGCTGCAGGGGGACGGCTGTTCAGAGGCAGCAAGCTGCTTATATTCCACGGCAGCGCCGACACTGTAGTGCCTTGCTGGATGGGCCAGAGGCTGTTTGCCCTTGCGGGGCAGAGCGGGGCCCTGCACCAGGCAACTCAGCAGCAGCAGCAGCAGCAGCAGCAGCAGAAGCAGCAGCAGCAGCAGCAGCAGCAGCAGCAGGAGAGCCAGCAGCAGCAGCGAGGTGCTTCGCGTCGCACGGGTGAAGGCACTTCAGGCGCCTTGGTGGTTCGGGACGCCGGAGGCGGTGCAGCAGCAACAGCAGCAGAAGCAGCAGCAGCAGCAGCTGCTGCTGCTGCTGCTGCTTCTAAGGAGCGAAACCAGTTGCCTGCAGCGGGCGAATCGCCGACTGCTACAGAGGACCACGCAGCGGGTGCAGCAGCACCAGCAGCAGCAGCACCTGCTGCTGCTGCTGCTGCTGCTGCTGCTGCTGCTGCTGCTGAAGCTGGGGAACCCAGCCTGCCGCGAGCCCTGTCACCTTTTCCTTTTGAAGTTCGGCTTTCGCTGCCGGGCGAAGCAGCTCTTCCGCAGCAGCTTGGCAGCGAGTTGCTGCCGCTGGCGCTGCATGCAGTGGCGGAAGAGCCTGCGCAGCAGCAGCAGCAGCAGGAACAGCAGGCAGCAGCAGCAGCAGAGGGCCCCACGCTGCAGCTGGAGCTGGACCCCTTCGCAGCAGCAGAGGCCCCGGGGGGCCCCACAGCGCTGCAGCAAACGCCGCAGCCGCTTTACAGCTGCAGCATCTCGAGGCGGCACTTTTCTGCTGCTCCTCCCCAGCCAGTGGCAGACTACAGCGACACAGAGGACTGCAGCAGCAGCAGCAGCAGCAGCAGCAGCAGCAGCGGCAGAGGGTCTGTGAGCAGCAGCGCAGCGCCGGTGGCCTCGAGTCCCAGGGGCTCTCTGACTTTGTCCGTGAGGTGTACAGACACCCCAATCCCAAGCGAAGTGGAGGAGAAAGCAGCAGTGCCGTCACTTTTTTCAAATTCCCCTTCCCCAGAGGCTCCTGCTGCTGCTGCTGACGATGCTGCTGCAGATGCTGCTGCTGCTGCTGCAGCTGCAGCTGCCGGTGCTGAACCCCACCACGGCCTCCCCACCTGTCCAGGGTGTCTGTACAGCCCACACTTGGAGGTTTGTCATTTCTTTTGTCCGCTGCAGCAGCTGCAGCAGCAGCAGCAGCCAGCAGCAGCAGCAGCAGCAGCGAGCAGCAGCAGCAGCAGCAGCGCCTGCATTAGAGCTAGTCCAGTTGTCGCATTCCACACCGCTGTGCGTCTTTTTTCTGTTTTTGCCTGGCGTGTCAGTGAGTGCGTGGCTTTTTAATGTTTTCTTTTAATTTATTTTAATTTAATTTTAATTTTAATTTTATTTTAAGTTCATTTTAAATCAAATTATTTTTAATTCTTTTTGCCTTCAGTTCTTCGAGCTCTGTGGCGCGGACCACCGGAGTGTCTGCGCAGCTGCGAAGTTCCAGCGGAAGATTTTCCAGCGGATGTTCAGCCCCGGGATGGTGAAGGTGCTGCGTTAGCAGCAAAAGAGGAAAACAAATAAAAAATAAATAAAAAATAAAAATAATAATTAATAATTAATGCACAAAAAGATTAAAAAAGAAAAGAGTTGAGAACAACCAAGGGAACAGATCTCCGCCGGCCGCTGCCTCCGGGGAAGGCGCAGAGACGGGAAGATGCGGGGAGGGAAGTTCGTTTAAGAAAAGAAAATAAACTTAAAAAGATTTAAAGTAAAGAAAGCAGCAGCAAAAAGAAAAGAAAAGGAAATAAAAATGCTTCAGATCACGGCTGGGCTACTGGCGAAACGCAGGTGCCGCAATTTGCAAAATAAATGAAGTGATGCATCGGCAGAGTGCAAATGTGAATTCCGAGGGCTGGGCTGTACGTACATGCAGTGTGCATGCGCAGCTTCGGGCCCTGCGGCGCAGCAAGTGCCTCTTAGAGGAATAATGAGACAGTGAGAGGCCTCTTTAATTGCCCCGAGTTGTTTAATTTGCTCTTTTCTGTTGGACTCCGCGGAGCGCGTTGTGGCTGTCGCGCTGCTGCGGTGTACGTACACTGCGAAATTTGGGGTGTACCCGCAGCTCCGGGCGCACGTACTGCCACTTCTTTTCAACTGCTGCGCATGCATGCAGCGTGCGCAGCTCTTAGCAAAGCTTAGCAGCAAACTTTAACAGGGCTGTGGGGCCCCTCATTTTGGTTCTGTCTGCTTCTTATGAAGCTCTTGTTGCTGCTGCCTTTCTGCAGCAGCAGTTGCAGTGTATGGACAGCTCAGCAGGTGTCTGTGTGTCTGCTTGCAAGACGCGCAGCGCTGCTGTCGCGAGTCATTTATTTGTTTCTTTTGTTGCTTTTTCGCCCTTCTGGCCAGCGAGTTTAAATTGCTGCTGCCTGCTTGCTGCCGCTTGCTGCTGCTGAGCGCAGCAGCAGCTCGAGGCTGCTGCCTGCGGCGGTGCTTGCTGCTGCGGGGCTCTTTTTGCTGCTGCAGACGCTGCAGCAGAGCTGAGACTGCAGCAGCTTGCTGCACTAATAAAACTTTAAAAAGAAACAGCAGCAGCAGCGCTTTTTGTCTTATTAAATTTCGCTCCTTTGAGTCCCTGGGGTGTACGTACAGTGCGGGCACAGCAAAGGGATCTGCTGCAGCTGCTGCTGCAGCTGCTGCTGCGGCTGCTGCTGCTCTCTCTTCTCGCATTTAGATTGTTTCTGCTGCTGCAGCTGCTGCTGCTCTCTCTTCTCGCATTTAGATTGTTTCTGCTGCTGCTTCTTCCCGCTGCTGCCAGCTTTTATTTCTTACATTTAATTTGAGTTTCCTTTTGCAAATTAAATCAAAAAATTGACAAACAGCCCTTTCATAAACCCTAAACCCTGAAGGGGTCGCTGCCGCCCTTGAGACATGCAGGCGACCAGCACACAGCTGCAGCTAGCCACAGCTAGCCACAGCTAGCCACAGCTAGCCATAGCTAGCCATAGCTAGCCATAGCTAGCTATGGATGGCCACAGCTAGCCACAGCTAGCCATAGCTAGCCATGGGCAGTGGCCATTTCTGGCAGCAGTTCATCATTGGGTAGGCGCAGCAGGGCCTTTTGGGTTTCCCTGACTTGTGCCTGTTTGCCTTCACCAATTTAAATAACAAATAAATTTGAATTTATTTTAAATCTTTTATTTATATTTTCTCTTTTAAAATTTATTCATTCGTTTTGATTTGTTCCTTATGTCCGAAGGATTTCCCGCTAATTTTTTCGCTTCTTGTTCAAGAATTGGGTCTTGAGATGCTGCTGCTGCTGCTGCTGCAGCAGCAGCAGCAGCAGCATGGCGGTGGCAGCAGCTGCTGCAGCTATTCTCCTTCTTTGAGGATTTGTTCAGCGAGAGTCTTGAAAGGGCTTTCACTTTGGATTTCTTTTGCATTTGCTTTAAGTGTTTTTTGGAGCCTTTTTGCTGCGCTGCTGATGAGCTGCTGGCCTCTGGGGGAGCAGACAGCAGCAATTCGTGCTGCTGCTTTGTGCGCAGCAGCAGCAGCAGCAAAGAAGGAGTCAGCGCACAGCAGCTGCCTCGCAGCAGCAGTGCCGGGGGCCCCCGAGCTGCTCGCCAAGTGGCTGCAGTCCCTGTAGGCGTTGGGGCCCCCCAGGGGGGCCCCCTGGGGGCCCCCCAGGGGCCCCTGGGCTTCGGGGCCCGCGAGGGAAAGGGCCCTTAAAGAAGAAGCCAGCAAAGAAGCCTCCAAGTCCGGCAAGTAGTAGGGGCCCCCTGCTGCTGCAGTGCTGCTGCTGGCTTCCAGCCAATAAGCATATTTGCTGGAGTCCCAGCTTTCTTGGTTTCGGGCGCTGCTGAGGAGGCTCTGCAGCTTCTCAGCCACTGCTGCTGCTGCTTCGGGAGAGGGCCCTGCTGCTGCTCTTTGCTGCGCCTCGTAGGCCTCCAGCAGCACCAGAAACACCCGCGCTGCCTCCGCCTCCAGCTTGTTTGCTGCGGCCCCCGTGGGGGCTCCACTTTGCTGCTCCATCCGCTGCAGAAAGTCCAGGCAAACCTCCATTGCCACTGCTTTTGCTGCCCGCAGCAGCTGCTGCAGGCTGCTGCCTCTGGGCTGCAGCAGCGGGGCCGCCGGCGCCGCCGCGTAGCGAAAAGACGGGTGCGATTCAAGAAACGGCAGCCGCCGCAGCTGCTGCAGCTGCAGCTGCTGCTGCTGCTGCTGCTGATCCTCTGCAGCTGAGGGGGGAAAGCTGGCGCTCTGGGAGCCTTCGTAAAGACTCAAGAGGCCGAAATCATCGAAGGCGGAGAGCCGCGCCGCCGCAGGCTCGGGAGACGTCGAGAAATGCCCGTAGCTGCAAGTGCCCAGAGAAGGCTCTTTGTAGCCAGATGGGCCCCCCCAAAACACCACATAGCGGGGGCCATACTGGGGATTCCAGCCAAGGGGCCTTTCCCACTTTTCAAACGCCGCGCACGGACTCGAAACCAGGATCAGGCAGGAACATGCAAAGGCAAGAATCCACACGGCTGGACGCAGCCGCTCGGCCGCGGAGCCCCTCGTGGCGTTCATTTTGCTCTATAAGAAATTTATTTCAGGATATTCTGCGCGGATCAGCAACACAGTTGCGCAGAAGAAGCAAACAAGGCCAGGTCGGCGGCTCTTCGCTGCCCTCCCAGCCGCCAAGAAGAGCTCCACAGCCTCGCAGCTAGTTTCGGCGAGAAACTAACGCCAATTGCTCGCAAATATTGGCCTAATATGGGAAGAGTTTCTTTGCTAGATCTTTGGAAGCTAATTTGTCTAGGATCGCTTCGCTTTCCCCCCTCACAATTGCCGCCGCCTCGAGAAGACACGCCTGGCTGCGGACCAATACGCGTCGGCCGTCGTCTGGCGTGGGGAACAAGAAGGAGAAGCTGAGTCCATACTCCTTCTTTGCTTTTTAATAATAAAAACGATTTGTTTCGCAAATACAAAACCGGAAATGGAAGTCCATTTCTTCACGGAATGCGCTGTTTCACTGCAGCAGCGCAGAAGGCGTACTTGACCAGCAAAGTCTGCCCCTGAATTCTAGAGCTCGTGCACCAGATCTTTCCCAGATTCCAGCCAATAGCAGCTCTAAATTGATCTTATTCATTACGTATACCTTCTTAGAAGCTCAGAAGCTTGACCTTTGCCGAGGTGAGAGGTTCCCAGCATACGGGCGAGCGTCAGTTTTCAACTTCGGGCTGGTCTTCCTTGTGGGCACTTACATTCCTCCTTAGTGCACAATCCGCATAAGCAGCAGGCTTCATGACTTATACAATTCACCAAAGATTCAAGATTCCCTCCATTGGCTGTGCCAGGCAAATGTGCCCGCTTTCCTTCACGCTGCAGACGCTGCTATTCAAAACTTGAGTCTTCACGAATGGACTTTGAGCCTACCTTTTGCTTCGCAGTAGCATGCAGAGAGAGTCTTCCATTATTTCGTGCGCAAAAGGTTCTTTTGCCTTTGAGCGCCCAAGTCGAACTCATGAGCTGCCTCGTCTTTCGATCAGCTGCTACTGAACTGCACCTCCTGCACAGATCGAGTCTTACTGAGCTACCGAAGACGATCTCTTGCGGGATGCCACTTCTCTTTCCGAGCGTTTCAAGTAGCATTCTATCTTTACTGCACTCCAAAAGCCCTCACTGAGAGAGGAGCAAGAAATGGGCAGCAGCCACGTTCGAAGCAATATTTCAAGTACTGGTTTCTGTAACTGTTACTGGCCGCACCTCCGTATTAAGGGCTCTCAATCCAGTGCACAAATAAGTCGAGTCGTCGCTTAAAGCCTTTGCATTCCGCTACCTAACAGATGCGCGACTGACACTGAGTTCGCCAGAATCACACTTTACTATGCCGATGCGTTGCACTTTGAACTTGCAGTTCCCCCTAGGGCATCGTGCGCATTTGTGCAGCAGAGAACCAAAAGATGAGGAAAGCTCACTCCGTACTTGCTGCAAAATGGAGTTCGACAGCATCACCCTTCTATAGCAGCCAGTTTGTCCAACTGCCATCCTCAAGAAACAATCAAATTTCGTTAGTGGAGGCATTTGGCGTCCGCGATGGCGACATCTTCGATTTCCCGATGGCACTGGACTTAGCCTTGTCCTGGGTCTTGCAGTCCATTGTACTGAAACTGCACCACTCATGTTTCCCGAAGTAATAGAACAGGCCTCACGAAATCCTGCATAAGTGCTGCCACTTCGTCACAGGCCTAATTAACCGATTTCTTGACTGAGGAGTTGTGATGCTAATCATATGAATGGCTCCTTCGTGAATTTTTTCCCTGTAAGCAAATCTAATCTGCTGCAAATTCAGAGTTTCTTCTGGATAAAGATGTGCTGAAATGAAGGGAATCTAATGCAGTGCTATGTCGATGTACTACACAATATGCCATGTTCTCAGGGATAATTGTAACACGGCACCGTAGCCTGAAAAGGTTGCATAGGAATCGGGAGGCAGGAATATCATGCAACACAACATGACACCAATTCCCTCAACGTCAAACAATACTTACATGTTGTATGATAAACTAGCGAGTCACAGACAAGACTGAAACTGCTCATTCGACGGCTGTTACCTGTCCCTGTCAAAACACTCCTCACAATAGAGTCGAGTAGCACATAGCTGCCGAGCAGCCAAAAACCAATAAAAGCTCCATAGCCTGCATGCTGGAAACTTATTTGATATTCTCACTCTAAATTTAGCCTCCTGCTAGATACAAAACAAGGGTCACATGGTTGACGAGCGGTGGCACAACGAGAGTAGCCGCCAGCGTTTGTCAAGCTGTCTTGGAACGTCATACCGCAAACCTCTCTATGCAGACTGATAGTAAGTTGTGCAGTTTCATACACACATTTTCCTGTTAAGCATTTCCGTTCAACCACCAACATGAGCAGACTCCTCGATGATTTCGCTAGCCCGTTGCAACATTCCACGTGTGTGCGGAACGTCTTGACCGTTACAGGAATGAATTCTTCCTCGAGATGCATAAATATATTATAATTGAGGCAAAATCTTTCATAACATCTTGATAAATTACACACCCTACTGGTGTCATTGATGACGGGAATCCAGCCCCAAGGCACCCCTCCATTACATGCAAATACACCTAGACCACAGCGGAGCAAAAAAAGGAATCTTACAGCAGTTTAAATAACTAACTCGAATATAGCGCATCTCTGAACCACTGTTCAGCCGCTTATTGGGTGTGACCTACCGGTAACTTACCTTGGGAATGTGGAACTGTCGCATGGAGAGCCGAGCCAATTGTGTTTTGTGTAACATCTCGTTCAAAAACTCATTCGTAAAAAAGTACGAACTGGAAAGTCAAACACCAAAGTCTGCATAGTGGATTTGTATTTCCTCCCCTCATTCCGGCTGATCACCATGGCGAGTGGCTTGGCTCTCAAGGACTACTTATGGACGCTCGGTCTAGGATTCCTGTCATTTGCAGCAGGTTCTGTGTTTGTACATAGACTGCTACGACCAGATCTGTCCGAACCGGACCTATATGACCGCCTAACGGCGCAGCGTGACGCTGTGCAGGAAGTGGAACAACTTTCCCGCAAAACAGATGCATAGAAAGGTAGTGCTCTCAAAAAAGTCTTTCAAAATTGATTGCGATTCGACTATTGCGATTGAATCGAGACTCTTATGCTTTACGCAGAAGTGGCATGAAGAGCTCGCTCCACTTCAGTCTCATCCGCAGAGTGGCGGCACCATGAAGTCCTGGACGCATTTTGCTCCTCGTAGCATGCCCTGGGGTTGTTTCATTTTGTACCGAGATTTATTTAAGCATTAATTCAACTAGTTACCTCGTAGCATCCTGCGGATGGCTTGGAAACGAAAGCGCAATCGCCTTGGATGCTCACTGCACCTTCTTCACATTTGACCTGTCGCATGGCCAAGTGTGTCTTCGTGCAGGTGCACCCTTCTTCACAGCACGTCTCGATGTATCCAGGTGGGCAATCGAAAATCTTCTCCTCCTTAACAACCTCTATACATTTGTGTCCGTGGGGTTCTCCTACTACGCATCTGGAAGTGGGCTCGGCGGTTAGCATTCGGGTGCATCGGCACTGGCCCTTCTTATCAATGACATCGCATGTGAATCCTTCTGCACAAGTATACATGGGCCTCTTCTGAGCCAGGGCGATGCAGTTCCCGCCCTCATCAAGTTGTCCTCTACAAATGGGCGTGACGGGGAGGACTTCTCTGTGGAGGCATCTGCACACCTCGCCGGCGCATTCAAGTGAAAAGGGACGATCACAGTCGCATATGATCGGCCCGATTGGTTTACAGTCGATTTCTGGCTCTGGAATATCCTTTGACGGGTATGCCACGGGCTGCTTTTTGGATGGCGCTTGCTTGCGCGGGGGAACCCTGCGATTTTGACACAGAGCGTACGTATCCGCATCATAGCAGAAACCCTCGACCGCAATCTGGCCTTCAGGACATCCACAGTGTGGCGGTGCTTCCGTTGTCCTAGCACACGCAGAACAGAGCGGGCTGTATTTCTTTTTCTTGTGAGTACTTGCAATACATTCGAATTCGTCAGGGCAGACATATTCGAAGCCCTGCTCTATTGGTGTTATACACGAATCCCCTTCTGCTGAGAGGGCGTCCGGCGGCGCACACACTGGAGTAGGCTGTCCAATTTCCTCCTTGACGCACAGAAGCCCGTCATGCGACAGACCAAAGCCAAGTGGGCACTCAACCACGGGTTGGTGGGTAAGAACCCTCGTGCAGTGGCCGTCGTGAAACTCAGTTCCATCTCTGCAATGCGCCATCTTCTCAGCCGTCTGTGCTTTGGCGCAGCATGGTGATTGGGCTAAATCCTTTTTGGTGCAAGCCGTGATGTATTCGTCGGGGCATTGCATCACTGCCTCTGCAGGCATGACGCAAAGGCCTTCCACCATGCTTCCAATGTGGCATACTTCCTGCACAGAAAACACATTAATGCAAGAAATTTGAGTTTGTCAAGCTCCGTCAATCAATTTACCTGTGGGTCAGTTTCAATTGACCGAGTGCACGTGCCGTCGATGAGGGTGAATCCATCTTGGCAGGTGCACTTGGCAGGCGGCATGACTTTCAATTTCCGTAGCAGCGTCTCTGCGAACCCATCTGCGGCAGCATTGTCTCCAGCCGGTAGGGAACGTGACCCTGTGGCCGAACAAAACAGGGCGATAGCGATTGTGTAGTTCCTCATCTTTAAAAAATTATTGAGGGCGATATAAAAATAAAAAGCTAAGCTTTGTGGCGTGAGCAAGAACTGACAAGAACGCTCTTCAAGTCGCTGTATGCTCGCGGTTCCCGGCAGCTGTACTGACACCCGAGACTTCAGTCCTCCCGGAAGGTACATGTGCCGTCACAAACTATTTTTTTGACGCTTTAGAGAGACGAAGCGTCTTGCTGGCATCTTTCACCAGTTGCGCCGTGGCATTTAGATTCTCACGTGCCTCGCTGCACAATGAATCGGATGCGAACTGAGCCCAGGCAAACACAGCACGCAATGTTGTAGTTGCCGCCTTGAAGGAATTCTTCTTTGCAACGAAAGCATCATTAGCAATGCGACTACCATGTGGTAGCATTAACGTAAATGCGCAACTGTGTAGTTAGGACTGCCAGTTAGGAATTCCGTAGGATTGACTGAACTATGGAATTTAACGTAGTGGAGCACCAGTCATGAGGTGTGCAGCGTTCGGCGTGCTTCTTAAGGATGCGTCAAACGTTTTTCAGAAGAGGATCTCGTCAAACAACACAATTCACATTGTTTCAGCTTTTGGATTGCTTCTTTGCACAGGCGTTGCGTTGTTAGCAATGCGACTAGTATGTGGTTGATTAACTTAAATTCATGTGCATCTGTGCGGTGAGATCTCCCGTACGGATTGATTGAACTTTGTAATTGAACGTAGCGAAACCCAGTTCTCGTGAAGTGTGCAGCGTTCGACGTGCTTCTTAAGGATGCGTCAGGCGTTTTTCGGAAGGCGATGCTGTTAAACAACACATATTTCATGTATTTCAGCCTTTGAAATTGCTTCTTTCCACCAGCGTTGCGTAGGCGTTGCCAGTCAGTCTTCCATGTGCAGCCGCAGCTGCGCGTGGAAGGCCCCCGAAAAATTTTAATGACCAGGAAAGCTTGAGCAGCATCACTATGCAACGAGACCGTAAGCAAGTGGTGAAGGCGGCCTGGCGCAGTATCTCTTTTCCTAGCAGTGGAGTTTCCAGCACCTTGAAGTGCCGTGTTGTCTTTACCATGTTCGAGGTTTCGTGAAACATCAATTGTTTCGCCAGTCTGTGTATTCACAACAATGTAAGAAGATTGCTAGCGCGCATAGAACTTGGGATAGTTATGCCTTGAAACCACTCCAGGAACTGCGCTGTGTGACTGTTTTGCGAGTCATAAGTGACTGCCTTTTGCATTAAATGCCCAAGTTCTACTACGGGTTTTTTTTCTATGGTAGAATCGAGTCAGCACAAGCCAAAGCATCGTTGCTGCGTGTGTAAGTGTGTTCGTTCTTGTGTCTATAGCAGTGGAAGGCGACTGAAAATTTGCCCCTTTCGTGCTATGGTATGTGACATTGATTGTTCCAAAGTGCGAACGGCCATTCGGGGCACTTTCCTGGGGCTTCGGAGAAATGATTACCTGCGGTTTCACAGAGACAAGTGGCCCGCAGGTAGGAAAGTCGCACGCCCCGCTTTCAGCAAGCACATACGCACTAGACGCTTGTTCGATTGGGCCTCTACGCGTTTATCCAAATTAATCTTCTGATGTAACCGAGTAAAGCTAGTCCGAATCTGTACCTGGGAGACCAGTCGGCCGTAGCCGAAAACCTAGCAAGCTTGTAGGTGCGAGGTCTACTGTAGTATCGGTCAACTGTCCTTCCGATTCAGTCTAAGTCTATTGGGATTCAAATAAATTATTAAAAGCACTTTTAGTTCAATTTTCCTCACGGCGAAGCTTGCCAGCTTTGATGGCCGTGCACTGGAGCCTTGTTGCGGGCTGCAGTATGATCGTTCGCACCGATGCAGAGCTCCCCACTAAGTAATTAATTTTCGTGGCTTATGGATACATTGTTTTGCTCAAGTTTGTCTTTTTAGTCACAGTATTAAATAATGTAGACGAAACGACACGCCGGGAGCGCAGGCGCGAGCACTAGGGGTGATGAGGCCTACTTCCTCCTTTGTGCTTCTACTATTCTGTCTGTTCTATGCATGCGGTAACAACTCTTCGGCACTTTATAGCTTGTAGCCAGGAAATGGCCTATTATGCTTCAGTGGGGTCCCCCCACTCTACCATGGCATGTTTGCCAGCTACAAGCTGCAAAGTCGGCACAGGATATCCTGAGTAATTCCTCAGGGTGACCTGCGAACACTTCCAGTTCCTCACCTAAAATAACAAATAATCGTCGCACAAATGAGACTAAACCTAAATAATTTGCACTTGAGCGCGTGTGAACTCCTGGCAGGTGCTGGGAAGGCAGAAAATTCACAAAACGGTTATCCTCATGTTCATCTAGGTGACCTCAAGGACGCCCAAAGGCTCACGCTGGAGGATATACTGACAGTACAAGAATCTGGTACAGCCTGGGCTGTTTCAGCCCGAGTGTGAACAGCCTGAAGGGCCCAAACTGTCGAAAATCGGCAGCACGATCGGACGAAACGAAGGACAGTCCTTTGCTGGGTGCAGTGCGACTGCAGGCGTGTTCAATGAACTGCTTTGGGCCTGCGACGGAACCGCCTGGGACACAGTTGGCTGTCTGACCCTGAGAGACGCAATATTTTGCTTGTCTAACTACTACATCATTGACCGACTGAATTACAAGCGTGGCTTCTCAAAAAGCACTTGGATTGAGAGAGATGGCAGCGACCTCGGGATGTTGGTGAGGTGCTGTGCATACTCATACGCAATTGTGAACGCAAATGCAGATCTAGTTTTGCTGGTTCGGTGCTCGGTACATCTTTTCAGCGTGCGAAAAAATAAGCCATCATTAACACGGAAGTGGTTCAGCAGTTCATTGTCATAAATGCGCAATTTGTTGTTCGGCGGACTTCAAGCTCCAGACACTTGCTCAACTTTATCTTGGCAGTACAGCGCCACAATGACAGGCACTGCAGGAATCTTCTGCGTTGCGCCTTCAATAGGATCTGTTCTCGTGGTGCCAGCCCGAAGTGACAGTCGGGCACACGCAGTCTAAGGCCAACTGCCAAGCGGCAATGCCAAATCTAAGCCTTGCCTTTCCCTCAGCCCAGTGCAAGTAAGGGCAGTCCCTTTCTTCCCTACATAATATGCGGCTGCACCGCAGCGTGGTGCTGCAGCAGTTCAGAGCACCACCAGCAGTTCAGAGCCGCCTAGACTTGGGAAGCACTGTGACACTGCTCAGCACATTTGCTGTCCAGAACATTTGGCCATATGCGGCTCCATCACGTGAAAATAAGCAAAAAGAATGCGTTTCAGAGCTTTTGGGTGCAGCTTTAGTAGCCAGCCAAGAACGTTTCAAGCCTTTTCTCTGCGGCTGGGCAGGCGGTTCACACGTGTCGTCAACCGTTCGGTCTTCCACAGTCCCCACTGCGACATGATCATCGCTGCTTCCGCGCTCATTTCCGTCTTCATGCTCTTTTTTTAAACCAATATTAGCCGCAGCTGGCCCGCAGCCAGCCAGCTTTGGCCAGGATCGCCGAAGGCTGCTTACGGCGGTGTGCTGGCGCGCCGAAATTGGCTGCGCCTCTACGCCTCACAAAAACTCATTTTGAACACAATCAATTGCATATACTTTCTTCATTGCTGCAATGAACCAGCCTTTTGTCTCAGTTGCAAATTGCTGAGATAGCTGCTCTCACGTACAGCTCCACCGCAGCTGTAGTGGCCTGTTTTCCCTACGCCTCGTAGTAACGGCAGTAGACATTACGCGCAGTCTGCATGAAGAGGAATGTCATGAAAAGAGATCCCGAGTGAAAGAGTGTGCGAGCTCCCACGCCCGCAAAACAGCCCCTAAGGCCTTCAGATCTGAACAAAGAGGCCAAACCCTGAGCACACGAACAGAACAGCGGCGGCCCTTCACTCTTTCCCGTACACAGGAATACGCATACGCAAAAGCAAAGAGAATAAGCAGCAGCAGGCAGCCATGTGCTGTTAGAGACTCTGCAAGACCCCACATGGAAGAAATTTCTGTAGTAGAAAGGCTGCTCGCGGCATTGGGAGTTTTCCATTTGAACCTGAAGCCTGAGAAGAAGTGCCGCGACATCAGACTCGCAAAGAGAAAACGTCTCGACCAGGTCAAAAGGCCTCGCAAGTGCACGCCGCATATTGTTGAAGTATTTATTTATGCAGTGATATGTGGAATCAGACTCTTGCCCTTAACAAAAAGGATCTGTGCAACTCCTCCTATCAAGGCAAGCCACCTTACCAGATCTCTCCATGGATTTCAGTATCGTCCAGGCAACTGATACACAGCGATCTATGTTCTTTGGTTGATTCTGCGTCTTACTTCTTAAATTCAGAAAGAATGTAAATGTCAATCAGCAGCAGCACTGATATTCTGCTGCGCAAGTCGGATCCTGTAGATTTGGCTCACCTCAGTTTCACCTTGTCCAAAGGCGCAGTCAAGAAAGCAGCGGCGCCAGCAGCTGCACCTGCGACGGAGGCGTCAATAAGTGGGCAGCATTCTGCAGTTGGCGACTTTGGGGAAGCGACGTCAGAGCCTCTTAGGCTGTTTGCAATCTTTCCGAATTGCTGCGGAGCAGAAATTGATGCAGCAAAGCAGTGACAAAGACACCGGTACAAAGAAGGCTCGACACTGTGGCGAAAATGTTGCAAAACGAAAAAAAACGACGGAGTTAGGGATAAGGAAGCCACTATTTTCTCCCCATTCACTCATTCCTAGGAAAAGTGACTTGAACTTGCGATCGCCAGTTCTTTTCCACTTGTGCTTGTTAATGCACTTGGACTGCTGCGACAAGCTCACATGATTCAGGGTGAAGAAAATCGCGCTGAAGGGGCCAAAAGATAAAAGTGTGGCGCCGTAGCCGCGGTAAAGGCCGCGGAACCCGCCGGCAGTGGCCACGTCAGCCAGAGTTGGTTTTCGCTTGCAGAATTCCCCCGGACGCAGCGTTGAGTACACCTGTTGAGTCCACAAATATTAATGATGACAATAACAATAACAATAATAATAATAAATAATAGGACTCTCTAGGGAAAAGTGGCTGTGAGAAGCCACCGGCAGCCTTTGGGCTCGCCAAGCAGCAAATGCATTCAACTTTGGCTCCGCTACCCCCGCAGCCTTCTTGGGTGCGCCATTTGGTGTCCATTAATACCATTTCAGCCGAAGTCCAACGGGTTTCCAGAAACCCTAAACCCTAAACCCTAAACCCTCTTTCTTCTTCGGCTGCAGAGCCGCAAGGTGTACCTGCAGTCTTTCCTTGCAGACATCCATGGGGAGGTAGAAGACGCAAGAAATGGCTTCGGCAGAAAAGCCGCAGACGGAGTCCAGCAGCAACGCGGAGAGAAAGGTTTGGTCTGCTGCTGCTGACTGCGCATCTTCGCCCCTTGAAAGCTTCAAAAAGCGGGACTTGAGGATTTCGTAGGTGCTGAAGTAAAGGCAAGTCGCGGGCACTGCCAGGGCAGAGGTCACGCTGCAGAGACAACGCCAATCAGCAGAAGAGCGGGGCTTTCTCGCAGGCCCTGCGCGGGGCCTCGCGCGGGCAAAAGAGGGGGAAATGGCTGCGGCTTTTCGCTTACGCAAACCCCCTGTAGAGCCCGGCGACGCCGTCAGCCTTCCAGATCGAGGAGAGTGTCAGTGCTGTCTTTGAGCCGCTCAGTTTCCACTTTCGAGTCCCCAAAGTCTTCGTCTGGACTTGAATAACTGCCTTTGCAGTGTCCAGCGGATGCATTACGAGTCGCGACAGCAAACCCGCCATGGAGGCCGAGGCCATTGTGGCCGGCAGCCGCTGCTGGTCCGCCGGCAGCCACGGGTACCGCAGCGGCTCCTCCCCTGTTGCTGCAGCAGCAGCTGCTGCTGTTGCTGCTGCCATGGCGGGCTTTGGAATAACGCAGCAAAGAGGCAGCGCCGGAAGGCTACGGAGCTGCAGGTGGCCTCTTGTTCCTGGGGAATGAAGGGACAGTGCGGTTAGGGCTGGAGACAGACAGCCGCGCCTGTGTCTTTGCACGGGAATGCAGAGGGGGGTAGTGGGAAAGCACTAGACACGTTTGTTCTGTGGCTTTCTATTAGATCTGTTCCTTCATTCTCCTGCAGGGGACACTGCGAGGAAAACCGGAAGTCGATTTCAGGGTACCCCCATTTGAAATGCGGCGCGAGGGGGTTCTCTGCGTTGCTCCGGCCGTTCAGCCTTCCTAATTAATCTAAAGTGTACCTGAATTGGTCCTTTTAAACCACTGGTGAATGCCCACGCGCAGGAATGCCCGCAGAAGGGCTGATACCACTCGCTGCTGCATCGATAGCCAACCCACAACCCCGCGCAGGCCCGCTGCAGAGACTGCGTTTTCCCACACAGAAAACACTGCGACAGTGCAGCAAACCAAAATTGTCGTTTTGTAATTGGAGCATCAAGTTGCTGAATTATGAGCGTCAGCTCAAAGTACACGCCGCCACCCTGCCGCCGACACGGTCGGCTCCTCTCGGACCCCATGCATTGCTGCGTTGTTTGTAGCTTTTAGCCGCTCATAGGTGCTTCTACTATCATATATTCTTGAAGATATCAACTATGCATGGTATTTGCCGGAAATGAGGCAACGGGTGCCAGCAACCACCAGCGGTAGGTAATGTCTTCGTGCACTATAATGTAATTCGTTCTTGTGGAGTATACAATTGCTTCAAAGAGCCCAAAGCTCATAAGCAAGGTTTCTGCATGAAATATTACTAGCAAGAAAGACTGCACGAGCATATCGAGGCAGGCGCAATGCACGTTTTGAGTGACGCTGCTGCAGCATTTCATCCAAGTTTGCTCGTCTTCACTGGGCACATTGGCTTATTCGCGTGTCGACCAGATCTTGTGATATCGATATAAAATATGCAAGAAGATTGATGTCTACTTGAATCGTCTGTACAGCCCAAAGGCTCACATTTCGCGCGGTGCTTTTCCTGAATGGACGCAAGGCGGCACGTTCCAGTGGCGTCTGTGATTAAGAGCAAACATATATCCCGCAAATTTGAAAACCCTGCTGCCCAACTCCGTGAGCTGTAAAGGCATGGAGCGGGCCGGCGTGCGGCGGCTCCTGATGCTGTTATTTGGCGCCATCGCTGCATTAGCGACTAGAGCGTTTGGGCGTCTGCCACTGAGAAAGCACCAAAGAGTCCTTTCAAGTACGCAATTTGATTATTAAATGCGCACAGCAGCGTGCAATTCCCACCTGCAGAAGCCTTCCGCGAATCCAATCAGCCTGATGAACCGGATTCAGATTCGCAGATTGTTTCACTGCCGCTTGCAACTGACGGCAGTCTGCAGTGAGTTCGTCTCTATCTTCCCGGAACTGTGGCGTTTTTATAACTCAACTGTTTAGGTTCTTTGGGCAGATTGCGATAGGGACGCCGCCCCAAGCTTTCCGGGTTCTCTTCGACACTGGTGCGTGTGCAGACAGCCCCCGCCTCTTGCGTTTCTCGAGCCCTCCTGCTGCAGGCAGCGCCCACACTTGGGTTCCCTCGACGGGCTGCACTGCAGCTTCTTGTTTGCAGCACCGGCGGTTCAATCCGGACATGTCTGAGACTTTCAGAAAAGTGTTTGCCGGCAACTTGCAAGTGCAGGAAGCCAGGCGCGTGACCTACGCCTCCGGCTCCGTGGACTCTTTCACTTGCAAGGACTCTCTGCATCTGCGAAACATCACGCAAGTTCTGAAATTGCTCAAGTCGGAGACAGCGGCAGAGCCAAAGGGGCAAATGAACTGCTGCTGAACTTTCTGCAGGATTCCTAGCCGCGAGTTTGGCGCAGTGATCCGTCAGCCGGAGCATCCGTTTTCTGAACTTCGTGAGCAGCAAAGTGTCCATTAAAAGTAGTTGAGTTAATTGCATTTGTTGCAGCCTTTGACGGCATTATCGGCCTCGGTATTTCTCGGCGTTCTGTCAACTTGTCTTGGACAAAAAAGGAAGTTGAGTTTCAGGATTTCCGAGCGCAGAGGGGGGCCTTTCGCTGGCGGAGGAAATGGCCTCGCGGGGCTTCATCCGCGAGCCCGTGTTCTCGATGGCTCTTCCCGCGGACTTGTTTTCAGAAGGGGAAATAACTTTCGGGGGGTTCAATTCCCAGTGAGTTGCATGCATGCATGCGGGTGCCTCGGGCTGCCGACTCCGGCTGAAAACGCTGTTTCCGCCCCCAGCCACTTCTATCCAGAAGCCGAGATTGCCTGGTTTCCCCTCATCTCGCAGAGTCGCTGGGAGCTGGGGCTGTGGGACGTGCGCGTGGACGAGGCCAGCCTGGGGCTCTGCAGCCCTCAGGCTCCCTGCGGCGCAGTGGTGGACTCCGGCACTGCGGGGGTGGGGGTTTCGGGGGAGTTGGCGGAGCAGCTTTTGAACAGGATTGGGGCTTTTTCTCTTTGCAATTCGACGGACAAGTCCGAAATGAAACGCCTTTCCTTCCTCCTGGCGCCTTTTCCCGGCGAAGACCCCACTGAGTTCGCTCTGGACCCTCCCGACTACTTCGACGCCTCCCGCTCGCGCGGCCCTTCCCCTGACTGCCCCGTGGCCTTCACGCCGCTGCAGCTGCCCCCTGGCCAGGGCCACACGTTTGTGCGTCCACGGCGCAGCGCTCGCTGCCGCCACTTCAACTCATTCTCCGCACTTCAGGTCTTGGGAAACGTTTTCTTGCGAAAGCTCTACGCCGTCTTCGACCTCGGGCGGGCCCGCATTGGTGAGCCGCTTCTCACGGACAGCAGCCACTCCAACTCAGAGAAATGCCACTTCAGGATTTGCAAAACGCCCCAACACGCAGCGACTCCCGCACGCCTTCCAGGCTCCACTGCGCCGCTACGGCCCCACTGCAAACAGCGAAACAGCTTTTGCCTGAACGCCCTCCAAGTGGTGAAACTCCGCCAAACTAAAATAAAAGACTTCCCGTTTTGTACAAGACTAAACAGAGTCGCAGACGCATTGTGGCCTTCCGCGAGCTACTCCACACACCAGAACTTTCATCCCCAACGCTCAACAGAAAACCCTAAACTCATTCTTGGGTCTTTGGGCGATTAAAGCCCTCAAAACGCTAATAAAGCGGAGAGATCAACTTAAGAAACTACTTGCAATAGGGAAACGGCCAGCTACAGGCTGGCAGTTGGAGGCTGCTGGCCTGCTCGTCGTGCCAGACGCTAGCAGGTTGTGCAGTTACTGTCAGAGTAACCAGCAGCAAACAGATGGCCGCAACAAACTCTAAAGAGAATCTCGTTGCAAAGCTGCGAGTGCAAGCTGCGAGTTCGCAACACTAGTTGCACCGCAGTACTTGGCCCAGCGGACGCCGTCTTCATCTTACTTGGCCAGTACACTACCTTAAAATCAGATCTTGAAACGCTACAGAATGCTAAGTTCCACAGTTTCTTTAGGGGCGGTTGGCACTGGCACTGGGACCTCACAGCTCAAGACCATCTCCACGAGAGAAAATTTAGCCAGCCAGGCAGTGTTGCCTGCTGTAGCTGCTTTTGCCCATTTATTCGTTTCATGTTGGGACACAAGCGTTTTCTCACTTCGTGCGCCACGTCTCAAGACATCCTACAAAGCAAACAGGTAGATGAAGTTGGGTTGAAAACTAACTAGACATAAATCGTCAACACAGCATCAAGTGAGCTCAAAAGCAGTGGTCTTTAGTAAGCAATAAGATCAACCAAATACTGAAAACGAAAAATTGCCGGCGGCAGGACGACGATCTGAAAACCTGTGGCCGAAGCTCACTGATCCAGGTAACCTTAAATTTGGCACAGGGCAGCCGCTCAGGGCCCTTCATGAGCGACTGGCTTCTAATGCTATAACATATAGAGTGAAATGCTGCTGTGCCATTTTACTTTTGCTAATCTGCCAATGTTCATTTCTGCAGCCCTTGCAAGCAATGCATGCATCATGGACGAACTCTTCTGGGCAACCAGCTGCATGAGAAGCGTGGCTGGACGCAGTGTGCAGAAGCCAACATACAAGAGCGGAGAGCTTGTTCGTATTTAGTCACGACTTTTTGTACATTTCTTTTTTTGTGAAGTCTATCCAGCTTTGTAGAGCCGGGTAGGGAGTGCCGTAGGTTTTCGCAAGCTGAGTCGATGGGTGGTTGACAAGTTTCCCACTGCTGAGTTCTGCTACATTGGAAACATGGGATGAATTAAGCAAACCTTCACAATGGAGACTATCTTGAGCGGAATCGCTGACGCCCCGATCAGCGATGCGGCTAAAAGGAAGGCCTACGAGTTGGTGCTTAAAATCGTAAATAAGTGAGGAAGCTGGATGCCCGAAGCAGACGCTTCTGCGGACTCTAAACTCTCACCTGACTATAGGCTGTGTGTATCACAGAGCATGTTGTGCTGGGTTGTTTGTGCAGCATCGTCAAGGCTGCTCAAGAAGAGGACCCAAATCTCCCCAAGTTCAAATGGGTCAAGGCAAACAGCGGGTCAGCTCTGCGAGAAAAAGTGTTGAACGTCAGCCCTTTATTTCTGGAGCTTCTCAAAGCCCTTGGATTTCGTCAGAGGGTGGGGAGGCCTCCTCACGTTCAGAATGGCGCCCCTCAAGAGTACATTGTTTTAGAGGACAATGTCAGTATTGACGACTTGGCCAGCAACGCGCAGCTTATAGAGGCAGTACTTAGTAGCATTCCAGAGGGTCAAAGTTCGGACTTACGGCCAGCCTCTTCATTGACTTCTCCAGGATCGGCTGGCCGGCAATCAGCGGGAAACCTGACTGACGGCCAAGGCACCGGCCAGCCACCCGCTCACCCGCTTGTATCGCGGTAGGCTACTTCTTCTGCTTCAACTTTATCATCTATTTTATTTGTCACATCCGAATGCATCTTTTTTTGATATTGTGCTTGGTATTTGTACGCATTAGCCTTCATAATCAGTTCATGTGTCACTTGCGGACTTGTGCTATGCGGGTCACAGGTCAAGCGCGTCCACAGCTGCCCGCCGGCAGGATCCAGAGGCGGAGTTGGAGGCAATTAGACGAGAGCAGCAAGAGAGGTACAGACAGAGAGGGGCTGGGGGGTCTTCAGCAGCAGCACGGCCTTCTGCGGCAGGGAATGAGAACGGCTCGGGCCAGAACCAGTCGGGCGGCGGCTGGTTTTGGCAGAAGTTCGGCTGGGGGGGAGGCAGTGACAGCAACAGTGGCCCCGACAACAATAATAACAACAACAGAGGACGAAGCACTTCTTCCCGGAGGCAGCCTCCCTCGAACAGGATGATGACGCTCCGTGATCTGCCGCAGCCGCAGCGCCGTGGCTGAGGTTAAAGTGGAAGACTACTGGCCTCCGCATTTGCTGCTTTATATGAGCTTAGCTCCTCTTAAAGGGAGTTAATAACGGTCACGCGTGCAGATGCGGGCCAAGGCTGTAGTCTTCGGGGTGGATAAACTTGGGTGCTCTGCGCCGCGACTAGTGAAGGCTGTCGGTCAAAGTTGCCACGCAAACACTGACAGTCTGATTGTCGCGGCGAAACACCTCGCGGCAGTGCATGCATTATGTGCGGAGTACAGGGAGTTAGTGTCCGCGCTGCAATTTCATTCTATTGAGGACGCAAAACCAAGAAGGTGCTGGGAAAACGCTGGTGAAAGGCGCACGGGACAAGGTTGGCGCCTTCACTTGGAGGCCTAAGCGCCGACTCGCATATCTCTCAGCAGAATTTTAAGTTTTTCTTTCACAAGTATATATCGCCTTAAGCCAGAAAGAGGCCAAAGAGTAATTTTCGCCCTTGTGCTCAGCGGCCTGCAAGTGAAGTTCATGCATTCCTGGGAGTGTGCCCGCGGCATCTGCGAAGAGCCCTTTAGGTTGAAGTGCCCTTTGCATCGATACTTGGCTAGCTCTTTCAGCTGCGAGACCCGCGACTAGCTGCAGAGAATCTCAGGCAGCCTCTTGAGCACCTCAAATTGAACTGCTACCCTTTAAGTGCACACTTGCCAGCTCCTTACTGTTTTGCTTAGTACGAGCACAGCTATTGTTTCTGGGAGTTTTTGTAGAGCCAAATCGTGCTATTTGCTGCAGCAGGGTTACAGAACACGTGGACGTGTGGTCCAGAATTCACTCCACTTATGGACGCTGCTGAGAGAGGAAGTGAAGCGTCTATTTGGCTTACATGGCATGAACGTGCTGCACACTAGGCAGCTTAAGACTTGCGCATATCTCTGCAAGCATATCTTTGGGGACGTATTGTCCTCAAAGTGTTGCGAAATACTTGTTCTACACTGCTGCTAGATACTTCTGCTGAATATGCACGAGGGCAAACGTCATGGCGGTGAAAATTTGAGCCCACCACTCTTCCGAAGTGCTATAAATTCAAAGTGATAATGCTCTGGCTCTGAAGGGCATCTTTTACGATAACTCTGTTGCTGGGCATTTGTTACGATATCTACGTTGCTCGAAGTGACATGATAAGTTCCGCCTCGCTGTGGAACGTCCCTGTGATGCGGTTGTGCCCCTGCCACCATAGTACGCACTGGGTTTCACGTGGTGTTCTCACTCACTTTTCTCTTGGTAGAGTTATATAAAGCTAGCTCACGGAAGGGATGGAACGCAGTTTGAGCGGGTGGGCCGCGCAGCAGTTGTCCACTGGGATGTTGTTTTGGATGGAGTAAAGGCCATCAGGCCATTTTTTGCGTGAAATATGCCCTGTCAAAGTAAATTACAAACATTGATATAAAGATAAATTATTCAGTGAAACTCTCGCTAAGCTTCCCCAGGGCACGCAATGGGATACCCAGTGCTCATCGCTGCCTCTTGTATGTGCCGGTGTGGCGTTGCGTGAAGTGGCTGCAGCTGCTGCTTTCATCGTTGTTAGATATTATCTAGACTTGAATGTGCGTATTTGGTTCTGCTGTATATAGACCGCGCATTTCACACCTTGACATTTGTCTCGCTGATGATCATTGCGCTGCCCGTCTTCAATCAATCAAGGCGTCCTACGCAGGACTGAGTGGCGAGTAAAGCTCCTTACAGGCGCGTGTACGCCATTTCTTCGGGCACCCTCTATACTTATTGAAAGATCTCTAACTCCTCTGCTTGGGGACGGCGCCGGCAGCACGGGCAACGCGGGTAAATTTCAGTAGTGTCTGCTTTACGCATGCGCAGGCGTATTGAGCCGGGGCTCATTAGGGCTGATCCGCTGTCCTACTCTCGTGATTGAAAGCATACCAACCGTGTTCAAATTCGCTGTCGCGCTGCCCTTCAGCTACGGCTGGGCTGCTGGCGCTGTCTGACGCGCGCCCACTACCAAGCTACACTTCTTCACTCCTCGGCCCCGCTGCGGCTGATCTGCCAAGAATTGTGCACGCAGGGGCTGCACGGCTTCACTGCCGGATTCTTAACGTGGTGTGAGGCAGCGGATTCCACGCTAGGCAGCCAAGCACACCGCTGGAGCTCTGCGCCTGGGGCACCTCGGCCAGCGAGTCTCGGCAGGTCGCATTTTGTCGAGCACATAGACAGGAACTTTTAAGACTTCTGTGTGCGCTAATAGAAACGGCAACAGCGCGGCATCAGCACTCCCGAGGGTCCTCAGCGGCCGCTGTTACAGCTGGGCAGTGCCTCTCATCTTTGTGCACTCATTGACTGGCTCGCAACCATGGGGTGCGTTAGGATCTGCGCTCTTCGCGAGAGGAGCCCATAAAGAACAACACTTATTGCTTGACGCATTTACAGCTCTCCTGTGGTGGTAGTAAGCCGCGGTGACGTAGAAGACTCCAGGCCATTTGCAGTGGTGTTCGCGGTGTGTGGCTTCCTCGCAGCAACGCACAGGGCCAGCTGACCCCTCAAGAGCAAAAAGACCTCGTCCAAGCCGCAAACTTCAGTGAGCGCGATATTAAGAAACTCTATAAGCGCTTTCGTGCGCTGGACACGAACCAGAACGGCGAGCTGGACCCCCACGAGCTGTTTGAAGTTCCCGAGATCGCAGATGTGCGTTCATAAACGCAGTTATTCGTGCAGTTTTCCCCCTTTTCGCGAATTGCACGTAAATGTAACTCTTTTGGTTCCAAACGGGTCCCTGTGGATCGTTATTGCATGCAAAAACTTGCCACTGCTGAACAGCCACTTAGCTGCGAAGACGCTGTTGCGTGTGTTTCGCTGCTGTGCCTTTAGAACCCATTGGTGAAGCGCGTGCTGTCTATATTCGACACGAATGGCGATGGCCGAGTGTCGTTCATAGAGTTTCTTGTGGGTTTGTCGAAGTTGGCAGCTGGCACGGACGAGATGCAAAAGACTAAGTTTGCATTTGATGTCTACGACATCAACAAAGACGGGCACATAAGCAACGGAGAGCTCTTTGCCGTTATGAAAATGATGGTGGGAAACAACCTTAACGACCAGCAGGTGCGCAACAGTCACAAGCGGCGTGGAGTTGAGGGCTTTGGCTCTCCAAGACGTGATGGTCTGCCCACCACTGTGGCAGTGCATGGCAAATACACTTTTAATTTGGATTTAGGCTCGCCAGCTCAAGCCATTGGTTGGCGGCTTGTTGCTTCGTTGCCGGTGTCTATCTCGAGGTGGAGGCTTGCCGAGTCTCCTCCGAAAGTTTCTGCAACGGGAGCTGTTTGCACAGCGATCCAGTTTGTCGGTTCACAGAGTTAAGTGCACCTAATGACGCTGGATAAGTCAATATTGTAGTCTATTTGTTGCAGGATTTGCTCTTCAAGGTGGGTGTGTACTGTTGGAATTCTGTTTGTGCTACAGCTGCAGCAGCTAGTGGACCGAACAATTGTGCAGGCGGACAAGGACGGGGACGGAATGATTTCTTTTGAAGAATTTAGAGAGGTATGGACAACCGAAAGTAAAGTCTAGTGGAAAATTCATTGGGTTCAGAAGAAGTTAAGTAGTCAAAAAGTAGCCTGTGTGAGGTGCGCTTCAGATGGTTTCCCACATCGACATCGCAGATAAACTCCGAGTTGACGTTTGAGCTACTTCTCGAACTGTTCCATCGCATGTTAATTATGACGACGCCGAGTTCTTTTCAGAGGGAGGGGGTTTTTGAGGCGTCTGCGGTGACCCAGCTGCGCATCGTCGTCCTTGCCATTTGTTATAGCTAGCCATTCTGACAGCACAGGGAGGCCGGGCCAACTCGTATCTGCACAATGCAGATATATGGCTTGCGTTTCACTTACGCCTCGGCAGGCACAGTCAGTGCCTTGGGGTCTAAGGCGTAAGTCCGCACAACGGGGAATGGCGGGTCTGCGGCGTCTCGTGGCTCCTGAATCAGCGACAAAGTGCTCCTGCGGAAGGTAACGCCGTACAATTACGCAGTACAACGGTGTGCTGCAGGCTGTTCCCTGGCCGCATGCGCCTTACAGCAGTCATCTCTGGGAGGCACAGCGCCCTAGCAGGGCTGCTTACTCGAGCGCAACATAAGGATCTAACGGAGACGGGCGGTGAGCCTGCAGTCGCTGTTCACAGCAGCACGCACGTCAAGAACGCCGCCGCTCAACTATTTGCTGCCCGTGATGCCGGGGGCTGCGAGCTATCGGCGACCCTGCAGCAAATTATCAACCTTACCAACTCGCACTGCAGCATGTCGGCAATGTCAGGATCATCTCCTGTGTCGTCACGGCTACGGATCTCAAGATGAGCCACGCCGTTAATAGCTTCATGCGAAAGCTGCCCCGTGAAGTAGCGTAGGTGCACCTGGGGAGCCTTGCCATGTTTGTCGCCGGCTGTGACACAGTCTGAAGTGCCTCGTGATTGGCTTCTCCGAACGGCGTCTTGTAGCTGGCGGGTAGTCAGTAGCTGCAGGTCTCGGTGGTGCTGCACGTCAGCCCACAGCTTGCAAGCGAACTGGGCCTCACTTGAAGAGTGATTTCTCCAGAGTGGCAGTTGGCTCCAAACTGACTGTAGGCAGATGCCTATACGACTTAGTTGTCACCCCAAAACGCATATCAATACTGCAGTTTTTTTAGCATTGTCTGCTTAATTTGCTAGCTCTTATGTCGGCGAACTGCAAAAGGTGGCAGCTTGTCAGGCTTGCTGTAGCTTGTGGCTGTCACCTGAACGACGTAGCCCTTATTGCAAAGCAACACTGGGCAGGACGCACCTTAATGAAATGGCTGACGAATCGAAGAGAAGAAAGCTGCACGCATGGGATGGCGAAAAGTAAGGAAGGCCCAAGATTCAGGCCGGGGCTTGAGACGGCGAACACGCCGAACACGCCGGGAGCGCAGGCTAAAATTACAGCCAGCCGGGCCACTATACTGCGGGCTGTGTGAGTTGCAAGTAGAGCTCCTAAAGCTATCAAATACAAAAGAAAACTGACCCGTTGCGCGGCCATCTTCCATTCCTTCCGAGCCCGCCTCATTGAATACGCACACAGGAGCAACAGGCACGAATTCGCGATCCAGTGGGAGAAGAGTCTCTCGGTGTTCTGCTCTGGCGCAATCAAACGGTCTGAATTGAGGACATGCACGGCGACGCAGATTTGAGGTGTTACTACAGGGAGCTTTTTCCCATTTTGGAAGGCTTAATTTGGACTTCTGCAGTGCCACTCAGTAAAGCAGTGAAAAGGCTTACACCAATCTGGGTTGTCCTCAGGGCTACCCTTGCAGGAAATAACGGAGGGCGCTTCCTTCGGGCAGCCTGAACTCTCCGGAAGCTGGTCTTTAGGGGCCAACACGAACAGAGACATCACTTTCCAGTGCCCTATCCCGTCGGTGCTGTACCTGCCTTCTGTCCCTGTGGGTGCCGATAGCACCCGCAAAACGTCCCATGCATCGCTTATTGCATTGAGCAGCCACTGTTTAAGCAGGTAAGGCCGAGTCCACAACGATCCTTCTTCTTCTTCCTACGCAGAAAATGGAATATGAAAATGTCCCGTGATTAAGTGTTATTCTATGGTTCCACTCTGGCCGCTTCACGGGCCATTCACAGCCTTCTTGTTGGTTAGTTTAACAAATTTTATTTGGTGCAGGGGACCGGCAGAATATGAAGCAGAATAAGATATGATCCAAACACTTTGTCCAACCTTGTCGAAGTTTTCGCTAGTAGCCATAAGAGGACCGCTGATAGTGCCTCAACAGGGAAAGACGCACAACTTTATCAATCAGTTCATGCTCGCTGTACCCATCGCGCTGTGAGCAGACAAATGCCTGCGGAAAACCCAACAGTAAAAGCCTCATGCTAGGTTCCTTAAAGGCAAAAATGGGGACTGGAGAAAATCAGCTATGCGGAATCCAGTTAGCGAATATTAGAGTGCAGGGGCTCGCGCTTGTTGGTAAGGCACTTGGAATACCTGTGTCGACCTCTTAGGGCCCTTCAACTGCAGCACCAATCGCTTCCATGGTGCAAAAGTTTCGCTGTGCTCTTCCGTGATCTTCACCTCAAAAGGCTCCCCCACATACTCCACGACGGCCTTATTGGACTGCGCCCAGATTACGCAGCAATTTCACTACGCTGTTTGCTTGAAAATAATCAAAAGGAAGACAGAGGGTCCTGCACGTGACTAAACAGTGTATCTCGAAGTGGCTGAAGTGCTTCATTCGCAGACGCAAGCATTAAATAAGTGCTCGCCGCAGCGTTCATGTGGCCAAATCCATGCGCTGTCACTAGCGTTTTATGGGGACTTTTTATTCACATATATCTGTACCAAGTTGCAGGCGCACAAGTATATGCAAATATGCCCCTGTAATCAATTGCAAACACGCATGTATACAAGCATGCACTGAAGGCGGGCAGAGAACAGCTAAATGCCATGCCTGTAGGATGGAGATCGCATCTTTGATGTACGGATGCCTTTCTTCCCGCGTTGCTGCTCGCCTGCACAGCAGACAGAGTAAAAGGACCATGGCATTCTCGTTCTACGGCTTTAAAATGCGCGAAAAAAGCCTATGTACTGCCTTTACAGCGCCTGCGGTCTGCGGTAAAGCAGCCTCGCCCACCATGTATTGAAGGCGGCAGCTCCTGCAAATATGCCACACCAGCCTAGGGAGATGCAGAACAGAATCCAGTCTTCCTTCTCCATGTTGTAGAGGTAAAATGTGAGACGTCTGCTAACTCTTGCAGGCCAACTTATCCCTCCGCGGCTCTTCAGTACAGTGCCGTGAACAAAAGAGGCCTGAGTAGCCCCTTTTGACGCTGTTTGTGCCGCTGTTGCTGTTGCAAATTGGGAGGAGAAAAGACGAGAGCCTCCTTGGGCTCCGCATTGTCTTGTTATAAAACGGGCTATTGGCCAGATATGTTTGCAAGGTTGCTGCGGATACTGTGCAGGGAGCTCGCGGAGCTGCGCACGGTGCTGTACAAGTCGTCTTGGTCGAGAATGCCAAAAATTCATGGGATAACTAATGGGCGAGCGCCCGATGGGGCAGTAGGGGACAACCCCCCGAGCGACCAGAAGCGTCATGACAGTCTCTGCTGCCGCTGACGAAGGCCTCGCCAACTAGATCATGTTCAGTAGCTGATGCTTACTGCTGTTCTGATTATATATCAATGGCCTGTTGCTGGTAGGCTATGTTAATGATTTCGCGAACAGCAAAAACTCTCCGGAGAAGCTCACTGGGTAGCTTGAACAGCAGAGCAGCCGACAGCAGGCCCCAATCCCTTTTTCCTGTTTTTCTCTGGTGCTAAGAGGAAGAGTTATCAGGGAATAAACGGCTGGCAGTGCAGATCGTTTGCGCCTCGCCCTGAGGGCCCAGGCTGCCAGGCCGTTTCGAAGCTGCGCTTCTACCAATTTTCAAAATTCTCTAGGCAAGCCGACCGTAGCACTCTCCTTAACAACGAGTTCGTACAAATTGTAAAGGAAGGTGTGCGGAATCATTTCAACCTAGTCCTGTTCAGGGTTTCTCAAAGCACCACCTTCGACAAGCCACAGCCCTAAGCTTTGCAAAAGATGGCCCTATTCTGAGAGGTAACTGCACACTTTATATGTATATGAAATCCATTTATTATTAATTAGGCGCATAGAGAGCAGACACCTCGTATTTGGTAGGAGTCTTCTGTCCTCGTGTCCCTGTAGGCTTCATCTTCGTCCGTGTGGCTGTGGATTTGCCATTTGCCTGTCATGTACGAGTCGGCAATCGCCCTCCACTGAATCTTGCTGAAAATCCAGAAAGACCACTTTGGGAGCGTTGGATCCCAGACTCCATCAGGCTACGTGAGCGATGGGCGGCCTCTATGGCCCTAAATACTGTCGGCAGGCGCTGCTGATCGTTGTCGGCGTCTTCTGCTGCAGTTTCTTATGCACAGGCGCGGCTGTGTTGTCACCTTCTGTCAAGACATCATTTGCTGTGGCTGCCTCTGGGAGGAAACCTGTGGCTTCACTACTTCCCCCTCTGTCAACAGACGACGCGGCAGCTATTTCGGCGGTGGCAACATCTGTAGAGTGGGGCTTTTGTCCACAATCTCCATCCCATTCACAGCATTCACGGAGCTCGGAAATCAGAGGGCCTGAGCGCTTGCAGCGACAGCTGCTGCTTCAGATCGTTGGGTTGCTACCCGCTGTAGGGCGAAGCAAACCAGGAGGCTCGTGGGAACCCACGAAATGGTATGGGCGGCCCCTACCAAGGTGGCGTCGTGGAAATTCGCAGCCCTTTGCCGTACGCCTTGTACAGCCAAACATCTATGTAAGAACATCCACTACTCGCATGCATGCTCTCATGCCAGTCTCCTAGTTTGCCCTTTATGACTCCCTAGGTGTAAGATGTTATCTAAAGCGGAGAACCCACGAGTTTTACAGCTACACATTATAGCTAACATAGGCAATTACAAGTTTATGAGCCATTGCTGCTGAACTCTGCATTGTCACAAAGTCGCGGAGGCATTCTGAGGATCTCTTTTATTCTTTGGAGGCATTACGACCTGTGGAAAGTGTTTTTTGCTTCTTGTACTTCTCCATATATGTGTTGTTGGCTGCAGGGCGTGTACAAATACCTTATAGAGTCTCGCCAGGTGGAGCTGAAGCAGTTTGAGAAGGTCCTCAAAGATGGACGAACAGCTCTGGTGTATGAGCTCCGCCCGGTTAGTGTTTGGAGAAGATTTTTCAACAACTTAATTTAAGAGGCTCTTTATTTTGCAACATTTGAGCAAAGCAGACCAACCGCTTAGCTGGATGTATTCAGATCATGGAAAAATGGATTCATAGTCCGCGACTAGACTCTCAAGATAGTGGGAGAAGGCTCGGTTTCGCAGCGTGACCGTCCGAACCTCTGAATTTTGGAGGCCCCGAAACTAGAAACAGCAGTGCCACCACAGGGGCCTTTAATCTTACTCTTTTTCCTGCCCATGGGGCCTTCAGCCGCTTAGGTTCCGTGAATGGCCAGCTCCGTGTGCAGGAAGCGCAGGGGAGGTATTATGGTGAAGTGGATTCACCCCACCATCGCACAAGCGTTTTAGTTGACGCCTCATGCGGCCGATGGATCCCGAAGAGTGCTTCAGTCTTGTGATTTACTACTTAGACGGGTAACCGCAACTCTTTGGCTTAGTTCTTAACAGCTGCCTGAAGCCATGCATATGCCAAGCTACGGCTAAGGACCATACATTACGTTGCAGCGTTTCATTGGATGCAGCGGCGAGCGAAGCTGCCTTGTATGTTCTAGCTTTGAGTCTCAATGCCACGCCCATATATATGTGTAGAGCCACTAGATTCACAGTATGACAGGGAAGAAAAGAAAGCTGCTGCGCAAGCAAGGGCGGACACTTCCTACCCATGTTTGTCGTCCGTTAACATACATATTTTGGTCGTGCATGGCGCACTTGTATACATTCGTGCACCTATGCGCTATATACAGATTATATATGGTTCAACATGCATCGGGTCATCCAAAAGTCGTGCTTTTATTCTTCGTCGTCATGGTCCCAACTTAATCCTCGTGTAGTGGCTGTGGGTCGATTATCCAGTGATTGGCAAGCTAGTTAAGATTTTTACTTTACATAGGCTTCTGACGACACCAGACAATACGAAGGCTTGCAAATAACGTATTTTGTTGGAGTCATCAGCACCGCCCTCCACCAACATTAGCTGCGCTGTCTTTGCTCCACTGTGCTGGAGCCGTGGGCGGCTGGAGCAGCAGGTTCAAGCTAGCTGATTCGGTGTGCCGGTTGAGCACAGCGTCCTTCTTGTAGCTACACCGAAAACCTTTTCATTTTTTAAAAGCTCGTGGGCTTTTTTAAAGCGTGTGCTTCGCTTGATGTTGTCCAAAAGGGAGGTGCCCAAGGGCTGACGACAGCTTGGGCTGCTCTGATCGGCTGTCCTCTGAAAGGGTTTCGTGGAAAGAAAACTTGGCAAATTCGCGTTGTCTTAGATCTTAGACAGAATTTACCATACTCAACTGACACGCGAAAACGGCCTGTGTAGAAGCCGTTGCCGGTTGGCCTGTGCTCACCCGAACAAGACGGTTCGACCACTCCTGTTCTGGTTCCCAAGCCGAACGAAGCCCGCTTCGCACAAAGAGTTACACGGGCTTTTTCCATTATCTGGAGAGAGGGGAAAGTCAGAAAAAGCAGCGCAGAGTGATGAGGCCTGGTTGAATTCGTTTAGCTGCGCTGTCTTTGGTCCACTGTGCTGGAGCCGTGGGCGGCTGGAGCAGCAGCTTCAAGCTAGCTCTAACGGTCTGCCGGTTGAGCACAGCGTCCTTCTTGTAGCTACACCGAAAACCTTTTCATTTTTTAAAAGCTCGTGGGCTTTTTTAAAGCGTGTGCTTCGCTTGATGCTGTCCAAAAGGGAGGTGCCCAACGGCTGACGGCAGCTTGGGCTGCTCTGATCGGCTGTCCTCTGAAAGGGTTTCGTGGAAAGAAAACTTGGCAAATTCGCGTTGTCTTAGATCTTAGACAGAATTTACCATACTCAACTGACACGCGAAAACGGCCTGTGTAGAAGCCGTTGCCGGTTGGCCTGTGCTCACCCGAACGAGACGGTTCGACCACTCCTGTTCTGGTTCCCAAGCCGAACGAAGCCCGCTTCGCACGAAAAGTTACACAGGCTTTCTTCATTATCTGTAGAGGGGGGAAAGTCAGAAAAAGCAGCGCAGAGTGATGAGGCCTGGTTGAATTCGTTTTGCACGCTATCTGCTGCATGCGGAAAGGACTGGCACCATAAAATGGCAAAGGGAGAAACGGGGCAATTGGCTGCCTCATCGCTGCAGTCCAAGGCAGCGAAAGCAGCCCCTGCTCATGCTGCTGCTCGGCGACGCAGTTCCACCGTGCGACGCTGGACCAGCGTGGTAACTTCAAAGTGGGCCTGGAGTGCCGTTGTTATTGTGGCGGTCTACTTGGGTTTCTTCTATCGTCCGCGGCTTCTGAGATACACATTTGAAATAGCCGGGGGGCCTGGCTTAAATCCTGAATTTCCTTCTCCATCTCGCCACTTCCGCATTGTGGTGCGAAATGCCAAGGGTCACCAGGAGGTGCCGGCTGGGTTCAAGGCTAACAACATCCGTCTCAGTTGGCAAACTGTGCCGCATATCCCAGGACAGTCTGGTCCACCTGTTGGATATGAGGTGTACGACATAGGCAACGGCGAATATGAAGTAGCATATCGAGTAAGGGAAGGAATACCGAGCGGCCACGAGCTGCGCTTGAAGGTTACCTATGGCGGCCGTCGAACGAGCTTTGCAATCGAGCCAGTAGAAGTATCTATACCTGGCCCCCTCCATGAACCAAGCTGCTTTGACCCCGTAAATTCATCTACGTGGACCAAAGCTATGGGTTGCCCACGTAGCTTTCCCCAGCTGGAAGAAGTGAGCCATCATGCAGTTAGATGCGCTTGCTTGCATAATGTGTCAAACATGCAATTTGACAGAGCTAAAAGATGCTGTCGAATATGAGCGCAATCACAGAGTAGACTTGAGATGAAGGAACTTGCGAGCAGAGTCACCACGAGCTTCGATTAGATATGCAGGCCCGTAGAGTATTTCAAGCAGATTTCAGTTTTATGTATCTCTTGCGAAGGATTTGGAGAACTTTGCGACGATCGATTTGGCCAAACTACGAGCTGCTATCCCCAAGCTAGTGGAAAAAAGCTCTGCAACCTCTTTCCTACACTACGTAATCAAGGACAACCAAATCTTTAGGAAGGCCCACGGACCTTTCCCAGCGTTTTCGTATTTCTCTGACATGGTCCTTCACCAATTAAGTGCCACTGTCAAGTTACCAGGTCAGTGACCGTGGCGTTAACATAATCGGTAGCTCAGTAGCCTATGGCCACCGTCTAAAGGGCCCTGAGAGAGCTGAGAGGTCGGTTTGCTCTTCTTCCCGCTCCACCTTTAATTTGCCTGCTTATGTATTGGCCAAGTTGAAGGGACAATGACAATGCATTCAGCATGGACGGGCACCCTGCTTGACCGCCACCGCGCTTCTTTTTGTGTCCTGCGCAGACGTGGAGTTTGTAATGAATGTAGGTGATTGGCCTCTCGTCGCAAAAAGTTGGGGTGACAGCAGGGTGCCAGTGTTCTCGTGGTGCGGGTCTACTGACTCGTTTGATATAGTACTCCCCCAGTGGGACGTTACGCGCTCAACGGTCCTAGGGAACGCGGCTTCTAGCCCGGATCTTCTGGCTTCTCAGGTATGGAGGCAAAAGAACGAAAGGGGAAGAGGCAGATCGTTGCAGAAACAGGATTAGGGGCGGCGTGGACCTCGCACAACCAACTTTGCTGGGTGTTACTGTGCTAGACTGGCCACACTGCCCACAGGGATGTTACATAGACACGAATCCAACGTTATTGCATGCGTCGCTTTATCAGTTCTTGTGCGTGACGGAACTGCGCTTCAGTCGTGACTGAGCTCCCATTTGGCGACATTTTTGCTTTGCACGCAGGGTTGGGGCACCCGTAAGTGGAACAAAAGAGATCCCCGAGCTGCATTCCGTGGACGTGACAGCAATCCTGTTCGAGTGCAGCTGGCACAGCTGTCTTCAAAACACCCAGATCTGCTTGATGTAGCTATTACTAGCTGGGAAAACGACGAAAATTTTGAAGTTGAAGAGCAACTTGGCAGAAAGGGGTCTCTGCAGCTCCAAGAGTTTTCCAAGTACAAGTACATCCTCCTGCTTGACGGCACAGTTGCTGCCTACAGAAATCCGTATCTTATTGCCAGTGAGCTGCTCATGCCCACCTTTCAATGGCCTGCTCACTGGGTTCCTGCGAGCCAAGATTATCGACCTATAGAGTGACACTGCTGCAATGCTTCCCCGTTACACCAACAAAGTTACTGTGGCGGACTTAAGTAGCCTTGGATCTGTTAATTGCTTCTCACAGGCGGCAGTTTATTGCTAAAACAGGAGAGCCCCTACTACGAGTGGTATCAGAAAGAGCTGTCTCCCTGGAAGCACTTTGTCCCATTTGACGGCACTGGAGAAGACTTGCTCTCAAAGCTACAATGGGCAAAGGAGCATGATGAGGAGGCGCAACGCATCGCTGCCAACGGTAAGATTCACCAGCACTCGCCTGCTTGAAGACAAGAACTTTCCCAGCTTTTTGTTGAAGTAACCCTGCATTGCTGTGGGCAGAATATCATAGGGCTGCATGTACTATTGAAAAATTAGCTTCCGATGCTTTGCTCGCTGGAAGCACAAAACTGCTGACCCACGAGGGGCAGAAAGCACTTTGCTATCGGTACAAGCCGCCTTTGAGCTTTCAATTTGTGAAATGGAGGAAAGCCATGCATATTGTACGTTTTTTTTTGAACAGCTCGAGACTACGCGAGGAGGCATCTTCTACCAGAACGTGTCCTGTGCTTTTACTATCGAGCATTACATGCCTATGCATCCAGACAGAAAGGCACCCCAGCTGTTACAGAGGACATGATTTGGGTACCCATACCGCATCGGCCAAAGCGCAATACGTGCGGGTCACCTGACGTACTGACAAGATTAGGAAGTTATCCCATAGTTCCGCTCCACCCGACATCAGTAGAATCAGTTTTATTCAAGGAAGACAAGGTGCGTTTGATGCCTCAAGCGTGTAAGAGGCATTCATACATTGAGCGAATAACTGGGCAGCTGGATTGCGTTGGTTTATGCAGTTTTTTTGATCACATAAAAGCATGTGCGTGTGCGTATACTTTTTTCAGGACGCGGTTGTGATTGCTCATTCAGCATTTTGCAACAAGAGTGCTCGTGTTCTCCCTGGGATCCTAGCCATGGCGCGGCAGTACAAAGCAGCTGGTGCAGACTTGCTATTTGCATCTGCTGAGACGTTTTCTTTGCAATATCCCATCAAGTGGCTTCACGCCGGCAACGGGCCAAAGCTGTTCTTCTTGAAAGCAGGTTCTGCCACTCCTGAACAGTTAAATGGCCGGCTGACAGTATCAGCAGCTGTGTCATTCATCAATTCAAAGCTATCAAATGCGCAACACCGCATCACCGCTCCACCTGAGCCTGAAGAAGCAGTTTCAGACCCTATACCAGAAAAATGGGATGGACCTGTGAAACGCATTGTCGCCAAAAATTTCGATGAGCGTGTGTTGAACTCGGACAAGGTGGGCCTGCAATTTCGTGACCTCAAAAGAGAACACCATTTTAAGTGTGGCTGCCGATGCAGCTTTTTCTATTGTTTATGTGCCATTCGTTTCCACTAAGTTATGGAATGCCAGAGTGATTTGCTTGCCTCTTTGCGGCAGGACGTGTTTCTCATGGTGTCAGCCCCATGGTGCGGCTACTGCAAGAAAATAAAGCCGGCGTTCTTTCGCTTCGCACGATCAGTTGCTGCGAGCTCAGCAGCGGCTGCGGTGCTGGACGTCGCGAAGATGAATGGGCCCACAAATGAAATTCGCCATCCCGAATTTCCCGTTCCTCACTACCCAACAATTTGGTTCATTCGAAAGGGAGAAACCAAACCTATAATTTTCTCCGGTAGTGCGACGGAAGAAAAGCTTTTGTCTTTTGCAAAGCAACATGCCACGAAGCCTGAAAGCCTTGAAGGAGTTGTTGTTCAAGCTCCTGATTTGCGCACATCCTCATTGCCTTTAATGAAAGACACTCAGCAACAGACTGGCTCTCCTATCCTCAGCATCGACACCGAGACCTTTTACTCTGGCGTGCTTGACAGTGACAAGGTAGTTTCACTGTGCCGCAGCGCTCCAATGATTTATATTTGTTAACACAACCTACCTTAAATTCGTTGAATGGGCATACCTCTCTGCTCGTATCCTCTCCTGAAGCCATAACGCGTTGCATGACAGTTTCAGTGAAGCACTAGTGGCACACAAGAAACACATTAAAAATCAACATGAATCAGCTACGATTTCCTTGCGCTCCAGGACGTGCTGCTACTCGTTTACGCCCCGTGGTGTGGACACTGCAAAAAGCTCGAGCCCATCTACGAAGAGTTTGGGAAGCTTGCGGCCGAGTCGAAGACAGCTAGCGAGTCACTGGTTGTGGCGAAAATGGACGGCGCGGCGAACCGACTGCCGGACGAGAAGTACAAGGTGACTGGTTTCCCAACTGTGTGGTTCTTCAAGAAAGGATCCGATACTCCAATCAAGTTTATGGGAGAGCGGACTACCAAAGGCCTTGCTTCATTTGTGCAGCAGCACGCAACAGCGAAAGTAGAACTGAAGGTCCCTGATTCGCCGGCAGTGGAGGCTGTGTCGCAGCCGGTTCCGACGGTGAATGATGGCGCTGTGAAAGTTGTGGTTGGCGACACGTTCAAATCGCAGGTTCTGGATGCAGGAAAGGTAGGAAATCACTAACGGGACTTAGTATGCGGGAGCACGCAGCGCACGTTTGGAATGTAGGGATATCTCGCTACCGCTCGTGCTAGCTCGAAATACTGCAAAGGATTGTTGCTCGCGTGACTTGTGTAGATGAAAGCGCGCTGCGTATTGAATGAGCGGCCGCATTGTTTAGGAGGATTCGTGGTGTTTTGTTTCGCGTTTTGTGTAGGACGTGCTGTTGCTCGTTTACGCCCCGTGGTGTGGACACTGCAAAAAGCTCGAGCCCATCTACGAAGAGTTT